TACTGTGGAACGGAACCTTGGTAAAGGAACACAAAGGGAAGGATTTCTGAGCCAACTCGAAACCCTCATCATGCGCAGGATTCGACGGCAAGATAGTCGAAGGCTCTATTATAAGCACATGCAAGTCAAAGCCCGGGGAACCGTGTACTTTTGAGCGCTGGATTTCGAGTTGAGCATGCAACATATGCAACAGGACCGACGAGGAGAGACCGTAAGAAAGAGGAAAGAGCAGCTTGCACGGTTTATCTTTTGCGAAACCTCTATTCAGGCGATAATTTTCCATACGCTTGAAGACTTTGTACGACACAAATTTTATATAACAGTCCCTGCACAGAGAAAAAGCCGGTTAGTATTTGCAGTAACCCCACTTGTAGAGTAGATAAAATTCGTACTTGCATAAACGCCGCCGCCGCAATGTTAAAATAGCTTCTGCATCGCGGCAGTCTACGCAAGGATCCGACAGTTCTTTGCTAGGCATTTTCGTGTTTACCACCGTGTTAGGGTTGCTCTTGTGGTTCTTTTGATTTGTATCTGTTATCGGACAGAGGCAAAATTCCGGGAAGAGGCAGAAATCCCGTCGGCGGTGACATTTTTAGGCCTTGCTCCATTTAGTTATACTCGGAGCACGGGCTTAGATAATACTATGGTATCGGCGGGACATCAACACGCGGCTTCTCCATCTCAAGTGCAAGGTAGCCACGAATCCCTACCGCCTTACCCAACCAGGTTGGAGCTGCGAACAAAAGTGTCGGCTGTTTTTTTCGGAACCCATTATATTCGCTTCTCTCTCCCCTTCTCCCTATATTATCCTCCTTTTACTTTTCTCATGATACTGTGGTTGTAAGGCAACCATTTGCTTTCGGCATCTCCGGAGCGCGCTTAGTACTACTATCTGGTTAGCTCCTTTTCAGCGATCAAGATGAAAGGCTGGCTCCAGACCTTTTGTTTAACTGCCCTGCTGGCGGGTCGTGCACTCGCAAATGAAGTGGAATTGGTGCGCTTAATATCAGATGCCAACCTCAAGCCTCAAGTTCTAACAGTTGGCCATCTATTATAGACACAGGATGAAGCTCACAGGCAGCGATGTTCGGGGATGTACAGTCGCAAAGCCTGGGGTGGAGACGTTGAGCCCTTCATATTGACTAAATTTGTTCGTGATGGCGATGCTGGCGATAGCGACCCTCTCGTCAGCTTGGTGATCTTTGAATGGTCCGATGAAGCTTTAATTGGAAGAGCTGTATCCGATGATGCCGATGTATACTTTTTTGACCACGTCTGGAGGTATCTACCAGCTAATAAACATCATAGGAGAAGGAAACTATCTGCGACGAAAAGAGTGTCAATGACAAGCTCTGCGAGCAAGGCGATATCGGCTCCTTCATCCTTGCCCCGAACGCAAGCGAGTCCCAATTCACGATTGTAACTCAGGCGATCCATTTGAACAATCCTACTGCAATCAATTACCCCGTCAAGAAAACAGGATTCTATTGTGTGAGCACTTATGGATACTCGGGACGGGACTACAAGGCCGTCGTCGAGTTCAGAAACGCGTATGGTGAACTTCCGGCTGCGCAGATCGCCAAGCTCCCATTTTACGGTGGCTTGACAATAGTTTACGCTCTTATTGGAGTGTATGTCCATGAAAATGTCTTGCAATTTTTTGAAGTCTATACTCACTGGACATAGGTTCTGGGCTTTCTTATATGTACAAAATCGCCACGACATCTGTAAGTGACTTCATCCATCTACCCATGACAATTACTGACCCACGACAGTGCCTGTGCAGAATTATATCACCGCTATATTGGTCTTCCTGATTGTGGAACAATTGATGACCTGGGGTTTCTATGGTATGTCGAAGCTGATATACAGTTGAGATGCTTGCTCTCTAACAATATGCAGACTATCAGAACCGACACGGCCTGAACGTTGGTGCAAAGGTACTAATGGTCATTGTAGCCGTTCTTAATGCGGGCCGGAATGCTTTCTCGTTTTTCTTGCTTCTTATTGTGTGTATGGGATATGGTGTTGTCAAGCCTTCCCTCGGTCGGGCCATGGTCTATGTTCGCATCCTCGCGATCGCCCACTTTATTTTCGCCGTTATCTACGCCGTTGCAAGTCTGTCAATAACACCAGACAGTGCTGGTCCGCTGGTTCTTCTTATCGTGTTGCCACTTGCGGGCACCTTAACTGCGTTTTATGTGTGGACTCTGAATTCGTTGAACGCAACCATGAAAGATCTTATCGACAGGAAGCAGAAGGTCAAAGCATTGATGTACAAGAAGCTGTGGTGGTGCATCTTGGGCAGCATCATCGTGATATTCGGCTTCTTTTTCATCAACTCGATTGCTTTTGCTGGTCGCAGCGAAGCAAGCTTTGTACCAGAACATTGGAAGAGCCGTTGGTTCGTGTTGGATGGCTGGCTCAATCTGGTCTATCTGTTTGACATCGGATTTGTCGCCTACTTGTGGCGCCCCACTGCCAACAACAGGCGCTTTGCAATGAGTGATGAGGTACGGCATTATTCCAACATAAGGAAAGGAATGTACGAATGATTGGTACTGATATGATGACAGATTGCTCAAGATGATGACGGGTTTGAGATCCGGTCATTTAACAGTGAATTGGACGAGGAAGACGCACTTGGCGGTATTCCAGAAAGTTCTGCCCATGAGCAGCGCCGTGATCTGTCGCCTGTGCCCCCTAAGCCCGTCCCGGCTGCGCCGCGCCAACGGGAATCCCTTGATGGAGAAACCATCTTTGCCGTCGGTGAGGATGGAGACAAATGGTCGGACGATGAGGATGATTTGTCCCGCGACTCGGGTGAGAGGAAGCGGCTTACCGGCAAAGATGCTTAGTAGTGCATAGCTTCACAAAAGCAAGTTTTTATCCCCTTCGAATTGAGCAACGATTATTTGTGACTGCAGGGCGCGCGTCACTATGTACTGATATCATTGAGGATGAGAGATACCTTTATTATCCATTATTTAAACGAATCGACGCATTGTGTTTTATTGATCCTTCACAGGCATATAATGGCGTTTGGCTCGTTGGCTCGAGTTCATATCAGTTCCGTCTTTTCCCCGGCCAACAAGAAAGAGGGGAGAGAAGGAAAAGAAAAGAAAACCTCTAGTTCTTACGCCGCATCTAAACTTGACCACATGGAATTTGCGATACTTCCTACTCCTGAAAAGTCTATGGGACTTATGTACATACAAACCTGGTCGTTATAATGAGATCAATTACTATTTCGTGCCTGTTAGATAGCACATGGTTATATGATTTGCAGCCCTGCCAGTTGGAAGATGCGTGTAATATGCTCCCTGTCTTCAGAAACATTGTCCAGTTATCCATTCATAAAGCAAGCTTTGATTCGTTCACGGTACCACGTGAGGATGGAAGTACGCTTTGAGTTTTAACGTAACTTTCCCGATGTTGAACCTGACTTCTCTCACCACACTCGTATTTTCCCAGGAGTTTCATTATCGCCAGATGTACGGGAGTCTTCTGTTCAATACAAACCGGATCTTCCTTAGCTCTAGACAGTAAGTAATTCAAATGTCTGAATAACATGGGAGGTAACAGATATAGATTTCCAAGGGTGACCAGGTCAGGTATCGCCTCAGAGATTCGTTGAATTTGCCCTCACCTCATAGGCATTGGTAGTTTTGGTCGTTTCACCCAGTCCATTCATCGGGGCAATATGTTCCTGGCTCTCACTCGTTTCATATACTCTTACGATTTCGGTCTTCTTTGTAATTCCACCTTTCAGGCGGCTGTGCCGGGACCTGGGAGGTTCGAGGTTCGTGAACTGGCTTGATTCCCCTTGAGAGGCGTCGGCAGAACTAAATTGAGCATGAACCTTGAAGAGTTTCCGTAGGGAGGACAGAGATCCCGACATGAGGCCAAAGTTGAATTCGACTTCCATCCAGATAAGGGATGTCGACGCCGAGTCTGGTGGATCAGCATGGTCCGTTTAAAGGGAGTATAGCGAAGCACTCACAGGTGAAGTTCGTCGTATCATTGGTAAATTTAAGAGTTGAGAATCGCACAAGAGCGGCGACGCATGCGGTAAACCCTAGCCCTTCATCAGTCCTCGGTTGGCTACATCATCTCAGCCAATTACTGACCAATACATAGCAGCCCTATGACAAGTAACCGCTTCTTTAATGGCATTTGCAATTGCCAAATTGGTCGCATTGGTAGCACAAGTATCATCACATCAAGCACGAACATGATGACTCCCTGCATCATCAAAATGGCATATGAGGTTTCGGTCGGGTAGCAGCTGGCATCGGGAATGGTCTTATCATAGGCTGCCTGGACGGGTCGACATTGGAACACCAACGCCAATGTGCCAGATATCGTGAAGGCAGCGATAAATAGAAGAAGGGATTTTCCGGCAACGTGGATGAATCGAGTTGGGAAAAGGCGCATGATGAACACGAGTAGACTGGTCTTTACGGCTGCTGCAATCACAAGGTAGGCGCATTGCGAGGCATATTCGAGCTGCGATGGTTAGACCAGATTGATGAGTCTGAATTGTCGGTTATACTGACTGTGAGAAAGACAGCCAAGTCGTCTACAGATACGTTCTGCAATTCCTGTCCAAGCCCATAGTACGTGATAATATACGCAAGGGCAGAGAACAAATCCACACCGATCTAAATTATCAGCAGTCTCATACAGGCCGTTCATCTCCAGACTGAACTCACAAGAGCACACAGCACCAACCAGTCATCGAGTCCGAATCGTTTTATAACGAACTTGCGCAAGTATAGCTAATATATGTTAGCCCGCTGCTCTCGCGACAGTAGTCGAAAACATACCCGAAGCACACACACTATTGTCGTTGCAATTGCCAGAATCAACACGATGATTCGTACGGCAATTGTCATATGCGTTAAACCTTCACCATCCCGCCCTTCAATTGACTTTCCCATTCTGACCATCTCTGATGGTTCATCTGGGCCTGGCTCCCAGAGGACGTGGGAGAAGAAGGGCATATGGGAAGGATTCCATAATGCATAGCCTTTCAAGTTTCGCCTCGGCAGCGCTGCATTCTCAAATTACACAATAGTGCAGTTGTGGAGTAGCAACACACGCTAGACTCGACGGCTGCCAGAAATTGACGGGGAATGCGATCCTGATGGCTGTAGTTCGTCGCGCCGGCTCGCATAGCGCCCTGTTCGCCTGGGGGCCGAGATTCACTTGGCCCGTGTCATGATCCTGTACGGTCTCTACAGGCTTATCCTTGCTCCTTTCTTTTTTTTTCTCGTTTCAATTTTGATTTGTCTTCCCAATGCTATTGAGTCTTGTCGATACGATAGATGCAATGATCGCTGAATTTCTAAAAAATTCGCCCAACCTGGAACGGGAGATGATCTCGGAAACCGAGGCCATCATATCGAGATTCTCCAGCCTTTCTGAAATCGAACAAGATAGAGAACGGGCCACCTATGTGTCCACAGTCTTCCCCCTGCTATTTGGCAAGGATTCCGTAGTCCAAGGCTCAAATGGCTACGAATCACAGCGCCAAGCCCCATGGTATGTACAGTTATACCATGTGCTCTGAATCACCATGTGGGAATGGTCACTAACGCTTATCAGGTCGATTAATTGCTGGCTCCAACCTTGTGTCATTGTCAGTCCTGGGTCAGCACAACAAGTTGCTACGGCTCTGGCATTGTGTCGCTTCTTCAACGTGAAGTTCTCCATCAGGAGCGGAGGTCATTTGCAAAACCCAGGATTTACTAGCAACCATGGGGGCGTGGTTATATCGCTAAGCTCTCTTAAGCAATTAGAGCTGTCTGAGGATAAATCTACGGTAGGTCTCGGGCCAGGCCTAAAGTGGTTGGATGTATACGGTGGTCTTGATGCGCACGAGGTGACTGTGACCGGTGGTCGGGTCACTACGGTAGGCGTATCTGGTCTGTTACTCGGAGGGGGAATCTCCTTCCACAGCCATCAGTATGGAGTTAGTGCAATGGGTATCAGTAACTATGAGGTGAATTCCTTCCATTCGCGAAGTAGATATACTCGGGTCGCGGCTAACTATAGTAGGTCGTTCTGGCCAACTCGCAGATCGTCAATGCCAACGCGCATGAGAATGCGGACTTGTTCTGGGCTCTGAAGGGTGGTGGGCCTAACTTCGGTATGTCCTACATCTATCTATCTCTAGGTATCCTAGGCATTCTGACTGCGATCTAGGGGTCGTAACCAAGCTAGATATGATGACCATCCCAAGTAAGCACTGGTCTGAGGTCCGAGTCTACCCAATCACAGCAGTCGATCAGGTCCTCGAAGCCATGATGCAGTATCACGCCGCAATCGAAGCTGACGATAAGTCTTCCCTAATCTATAATGCTACTCACGACATTATCCTCGTCATCTTTTTCTACGGCGAACCTGTCGAGCATCCCCCTATTTTTAAGTCCTTCTACGATATACCCCACGTCGCCAACTTCGTGGCCCCAGGTATCCGGACCGTCTATGATCTCATGAATGCAGTAGATTCTGTGCAAGATTCAGAACCTGCACTGTATGCCGGTCACCACCCATTCTCTCTTCCTGAGTGCCGCTGACCCTTTTAGTCACGATTTTCGGACTATGACCAGCCTTCCTAGTCTAGACGTATACAGGGCTATTGAAAAAACACACGCTGAGCAGGTTGATATCCTTAAGGACGTCGAGGGCCTTACATTGACAACCGTTATCCAACCAATGTCCTCCTCGGCCATGAAAGCGACCCTCCAAAGTCCCCTAGGCCTGACACCTGTTGGACAACAGTGTACGTCCCTCCTCCAGCTTGAGGCACCATTCTCGGGTCTAATTGATACTGTTTAGGGTTCCTTGTGAGAGCCGACTGGAAGCATGCGAAAGACGAGGAGCGTGTCCGAGAGGCAGTGCGCAAGATCGTCGATGTGGCGGAATCAGAGGCGAAGCAGGCCGGAGTGCATCTTCCTTACCTTTATTCGAACTATGCTTCGCGCGACCAGGATCCCCTGGCAAGCTATGGGGTGGAGAATGCTAAGCGATTAAAGGAGATTGCGCTGAAGTATGACCCAGACGGCATATTTCAGAAGTTGCAAAATGGGGGGTGGTTGCTTTCCAACATGGGGTTAGAGGCGTGAGAGTCTACGAGTATCTGACGCAGTGCGTCCTACTAGTAATACCTTAATAGTAAAGATATTCATTAAGCAATACATGACAAAGCTCGACATCAATTTTGAGAATGAAGAAGTAACCGTTGGAATAATAATTATTATAATAATAATACTAATAATTACATGACGACAATGCAGCAGTCCTTTGCTTTCCCTTGTTGCCAAACACAAGCCCTCCCAACCGCCCAAGCCTGCAACGCAGCCCCCAAGCCCACCACCAAGCCATTTTCCTTGATCCCCGTGCGAAAATACCACGCGGAACTCGCCCACAACAGCGCATTAGTGATGATTGCGATAGCCTTGTTAGTTGGATCTTGGAGGGCGCGAGGGTTACGGGACCATTGATGGTGGATGAGACCTTACCATTTGAAGTCAGTTATTTAAGTTCCGTGTCTGGGATAGAGTGGTGAATTGGATGAGAGCCTCGATATATATATATAACATACTAGTCATTAGAAAAAAGGCGCTTCCCTGGAAGTTATCGTCAGTATATATCTATTATCAGGTCACTGGTATCCTCCTGTATAGTATGGAATTACCTGGTACCAGCCAACAATCCCACAGGCCCATGGTTTCGTGCCTGAAATATGCATGAATGTTGGCTCGGCGGTCCATTGTTTCCCTCCAATCTAAAGAGTTAACGTTAGTCAATGACGGGCTTTTCCTATCTTGTACAAATTGGAATGGATGTTCGTTATGTGGTGCTGTTGGTCGCTGTGATAATTATGGAGCAGGCAGGAAGCATACCGTATGTCCAAAGGAGAGGACGGCAAATGACAAGGCCGACGCCTGAAGCGAGCGAGACGATGGTGTCATTATTGGATGTTATAAAGATCAAAACTGATTTTAGTTGTCTGGGGGTGTGGTGGTGCTTTGGCTAGAGAATATATAGTGAGAGAGAGAGAGAGATAAAATGCTAAGGAGGTAGATCTTCAGAGAATTGAAACTACATACTGCTGTTTGAAAGGAACTCATGATACAAAGACCCGCCAGGGAGATTATCTATATAGTAGCACATCCTTGGACAGTGATACCCTTCATATCTCCACCATCAGACATCGGATCGTATAGTATACGAACCAGCCTATCAGCGAGCGTCACAGATGGGTCCTCGAAGACTGAGACGAAAACTTGGCACGGCTTGCCTTTGGTGTCATACTTCCCTATCAGGAATGACACCTATAGAATTCAATATGACGGGGGACTGATGCATATTCTTCCTATATAAGGTGCTGAGCTTGCCTCGGATTTGAGTTCCACATAGATTACTACTAGGAGCATATGGAATGCATCCACGTGACGATCTGATCACTTTCCTATTTGAGTAGGGGAGCGGTGTGAATGAGTGGCCAGAACGCCCATTCAGCTGAGGAAAAAGGGCTGGACTAGACTGAATCAGGATCGCTTATCTCTGGGCAATCGTGCAGATTCGTGGTTTTTAATTGTTGTTCACTGTAGGAGGGACTCGGATCAGATCTGGTGGGGGTGGTTGGCAAGTACCTACTAGACACGCGACAAATATATTTCAGCTCTTACCACTTAAAAGGGAAAAAAAACAACTTGAACAATATCACTCGAAATCTGCATCAATGAGAATCTGTGTATTCCAGTCCTGCTTTGAGGAGCTCCAAGCCTCTGTTGGCGAGGCCCAAGAATTATGCATGAATCCAGGCGTGTTTACGTCACAGCATACCGTGGTGCACAAGACAATTCACAAGTCGACGGCCACAGAGCAGATAGATGAAGCCGTGCGAGAAGGTTACGATTTTTACTTGAATTTTATGTGGGGGACATATGATGACTCCTTGGCTGGAGTAGATGCAATTCAATATTTCGAGTCTCTTCACCTGCCATCTGCGGGCGTTCAAAGTTCGGAACGAAAACAATCAAAATGGGACTTTTTCGCTGAAGCAAAGCGAGCAGGAAGTCCCCTTGTTCCTGGGACTGATAAATTCCCATTATTTGTTAAGCCTGCTTCAAGTTATGGGAGTATGTTTATTGATGAGCATTCCTTGTGTCGAGATGAGGCGGAGCTGGAAAGTTGCATTCTAAGACTCAACAAGTTGATGCGCCCGGTACGGATTCAGCGAGCTCAGGCACTGGGTCATCAAGACCCTGGAATTTACGCCGATGCCCGAGAAAGCGAAGGGCGAGAGAGTACAGATATTGTTGTTCAGGAGTTTATTGCTGGGGAGGAGTATTCTGTCGTGGTTATTGCAATGGGAGAAAGCCCGGTTCCACTTATACCTCAGCGCGCCAAGTATAAGCAAGTGGGAGACGCGGCGCGAATCTTGACATTGGAGCTGAAGTTTGATGCCGAGTCTGGCTATGAGCTTATGAAAGAAGGGGAGAATCCGGCTCTTTGGAAGCATCTGCAAGAGACGGCAGTTGAAGCGTTTCACTCCAAGAAGATGTATACCAACTTCATGGGATGCGATGTCGATATGAGAATTGGACACGATGGGAGAGCCTATGTGATTGAGGTTGATCCCCTGCCTGTGTTCTTCTATCCTACAGGGTCCCAGCTTGAGGATACAGACGTCAAGCACGGATTCCCTGGTGGATACAGGGCTGTTGTCAACACTTATATCACAAACTACTTTCTCAAACACCCCGGTGACCGAGAGCCACGCTTCATTGATTTGGCTTCCATATTTGATCAATTATCGACTCTTCCGGACTCAACAAATGAGGTTCCAGAGATTGGCGTCCTGGGGCCGTGGAATGGCACAGTCCTAGATCTCGGTTGCGGAACGGGAAGTGTCGGGCGAGCTCTCCACGCCGACCCACGTAATCGAATCACGCATCTCACTGGAGTTGATATTTCGAAACCGTCACTGGATATCCAAGAAACCAATACGTACAGTGTGTTGATTCACGACAGGATGGAGCGCTTCCTTGCCAAGCAAGCATCAATGTTCGACCACATATTCTGTATATCAGCCTTGCAATTCCTGCCCATGGAAGAGCTGGATTTTGTTCTCGCAAGATGCTTTCAGCTGGCCAGGTGCTCCATAACAATTGTCATCGATGATCTTCAAATGAGCAGGAAGTATAATCCTGAGACCTTGGCACATCTGAAAGCCTTCTCTATGGATCACTCTGAAAACATCAAGACATTTCAGATTCAACATGGCTGGCGGTTACAGCCCTCAAATACATCTCATTGTTATGAGGGTCATCGCTTGCAATTCCATTTTCACCGAGACGGCAGGATGGAATAGACAACCTGCCCATCAATACACTTTTCAAGTAGCTAAAATGGGTAATTAATCCATGACTTTGACGCCGCACTAAACCCTCGGAGTTGCTCGAGCTCTTTAAGTGAAACTTAGGAAACAGCCAAAAAGACCGAGTAGCTGGACCGAGCGGCTGGCGCGGGTTTGTGATAATCAGAATTCCATTCACCGGTCACCATATCGTCGATGGACATGATATTGATTCCGAACCAATCATGATGTGGAACTGTCGGGCTCAGGGCCCCATGCAGTCGGAGGAACCTCTGGAAACTCTGGAACAGTAGGACGGTCTCCCTCTGAGGCCAATGAAGTGGTAATAGGTTGGGTGAGGACAGTGTTGGTCTCTGTCAGTACTTCACCCCCCTGAGCGGCAGTAGCTGCTGACACAAAAGGATGACTAGCCTTCGGTTCCGTGGGCGACAGGTTCTGCTTCTCGGATCGGCTAGGCTTTAGCTTGAGCTGCCCTATCTCCAGAGCACGGAGAACAGCACCGAGATCCTGGGAATCGATGGATCGCAGCTTGCCTATAGCATCGCCTGAAACCTCCGGGACAGCCTTCCAGCCCAACTAGTCAAACTCCCCTAAGGTCGTGGACTTTGACTCAATCGATGGGCCGGTGACCAGGCGCTGTAAATAACTGTCGGTGACGCTGGGTCAGCGACGCATCTTGACCGGGTTGGACTTGGTGCTTGCTACTACTTATAGAAGCGACCCCATCTTGGTGGCGCTTAGGGGGAGCGGTGCCATAGCAGTATTAGCGCCCTCCCCTACTTCATTACGGATCACTATCGTGGGCAAACATGTCCGTAGAATCCAAGCGACTCCAGCTTTGATAGCCTTCCAGTTGGTAGAACTCGGCGAGTTCGGCGAGACGTTGCACTGTAACTGTCATATTAGATCGTGAGATTGCTTGTCCTTGCTGTTAATTTATTCACCTCGAATTCGCTTCTTGAGGCACCAAAATCTCCACACAAGTACGCGGGTTCGATTATCTAAAGGAAGGGCAAACAAAATTTGTGCAGGAGCAAAAAGCGTCTGCCAGTGTCAATATGAATGTACTGGGTAGCTCGGCAAAGATCTTAAATTAAAAGCGAAAGACGCTGTCGCAAAAGGCGCGCACAGATTGGGCACAGCCACAGGCTAACGCTGCTGCCTCGAAGGTCTGGGATATCTCAACCAAGAAATGACGCTGTTCTCAGCATACCCTGCTTGATAGCAGCTCTCCTGTCTAGAACTCCAATATATAGTGACTCTATTACGCTGACCCAGCAATGAGTTTCGGGTTCAGTATCGGCGACTTTCTCGCAGTCATCGAACTAGCAAACAAAATCCGGAAGGAATTCGTTGATGCACCATCCCAATTCAAAGCTATTAACGACGAGTACAGCTACCTCAACGTGTTGGATTTGTGTTTAATGGGATCACGGCGACTAACCAGAGTGCTACAGAGTCCGCAACTTGTCGTTCATAATACAAGATGTTGAAGTCGACTTGTCTGGCAAAGAACTCAGCGACAGCCAGAAATCTGAACTGCAAACCATCGCGGATAGCTGTCGCTGCGTCCTCGATGAGATTCACCAGAAAATCAACATCTACAGGGTGCTGGAATCTGACCATTCCACTGGCCTGCGTAGAGTTGTAAGGGTGTGGAAACGACTAAAGTGGGAACCGGATGATATTCAGGACCTCCGGACTCGTATCAGCAGTAACATTAGTCTCCTCAATGCTTTCAACGGATGCATTACCCGGCGTGCTGTCGCTGAGTTATTACAACGTCAAGATGAGACGGAACGTCAAGAGATTCTTGACTGGCTCTCTCCTATAAATCATGCTGCGCAACAGAGTGACTACCTGAGCCGAAGCCAGCCTGGGACTGGACAGTGGCTTATAGACTCACACAAATTCACAGCATGGGTCGAGAAGCCAGAGCAGACATTGTTTTGCCCCGGTATCCCTGGAGCGGGCAAGACTACCCTTATGTCTTTGGTTATCGATGAACTTTACAAACGCTATGGAAATGACAGCGAGATCGGCATTGTGTTTATCTACTTTAAATTCAAGGACGAGTGGACAATGAACCAGTTGCTTACTACCCTACTGAAACAGCTGGTTCAGAGACAACCATCTATACCAAGTGATCTGAAAGACATATACGACTATCACCATAAACACGGAACACGGCCGCCTCCAGGAGAAATATCAAGGTGCTTACATACCATCGCTAGCTCATATAAAAGGATTTTCATGGTCATCGACGCACTGGATGAATACCAATCCCCTATCCAGTCATGCGACAGAATTTTGCCTACTATATTCAACCTCCAGGCCCAGTCTCATGCAAGTCTCTTGGCTACTTCAAGACCCATCCCAGAGATCAGTGACCATTTTAAGGGAATGCCTACTCTAGAGATAAGGGCACGAAATGAAGACGTACAGAGATATCTAAGGGACCACCTAGGACGCCTTCCTAGATTTGTTTCACGAGATGCAGGGCTCCAGGATGAGATCGTTACAGAAATCGCAGAAGCGGTGGATGGAATGTCAGTAGCTTCAATAGAAGCCAAGAAAAAGGCATGCTAATGTACGCCCAGGTTTCTTCTAGCTCAGCTTCATCTTGACTCATTGGTTGGAAAAATGTCGCCCAAGGCTCTTCGAAACGCTCTGAAACGACTTCCCACAGGGACCGATGCTGTTAACTTGGCTTATAAGAATGCGATGAGCCGGATCGAAGGACAGGTGGCTGATCAGGTTGAATTAGCCAAAAACGTCCTGGCATGGGTTGTATGTGCGAGAAAACGGTTGACTGTCTTGCAGCTCCAACATGCCCTTGCGGTCGAAATAGGCGAAGCTTACCTCGATCAAGACAATCTACCCGAAATCGAGGATATGGTCTCTGTATGTGCAGGCCTGGTCACCGCTGATGCGCGAGGTGGCGTCCTTCGACTAGTGCATCACACCGCGGAAAGATACTTTGAGCAAACCTGGATGGATTGGTTCCCTAGCGCTCATAGCAAGATAGCCGCGACCTGCATCACGTACCTCTCATTGGATATCTACAAAACTGAATTCCAACAAACCCTTAGTATGGAGCAACTCATTCGGTTCTCTCGCCTTACGCCTATTGGAGATTTCGAGGTACTTCTCAAACAATACCCGCTCTACATGTATTCAGCTCGGTACTGGGCATCACATTGCCTCATACAGCAAGGAAGCTATGAATTGGTCCTGAACCTTCTGCAAGATGAGACAACGTCTGCTGCATGCGGCCAAGCGTTGGCATTTGGAGAAGATGACTTCTGGTGCAGGTCCTCTGCTCCTCTGCAAATATCAGGGTCTCACCTGGCGGTATATTACGGGTTAAATGATATCTTGCAGGGCCTGATCGAGAATAGCAGCCAAACAAACACTCCAGACATGAATGGTGAAACTCCATTGTCATGGGCAGTAAGAAGAGGCAACCAGTCTGTTGTCAAGCTCCTTCTAGAACAGGGTGCAGACCCAAATACTAGGGATAATCAAGTTCGGACGCCGTTGTCACGGGCCGCGGAGCAAGGTTGTGAGACCATGGTTGAGCTTCTTCTGGACAACGGTGCTGATCCAAGCATTATGGATCGCGACGCCAGGTCGTCATTGTCGTGGGCCGCAGAGAAAGGCCATAAGGAAGTGGTCAGACTTCATCTAGAGAAGGACGTCGACCTGGAGTCTAAGGATAAGGATGGCCGAACACCACTTTCCTGGGCGGCAAAGAATGGCCACACGGCAGCAGCCGGTCTCCTGTTGAAAAAAGGTGCCGATCTATTTGCAAAGGATGAGAAGGGGAGAACACCTATTTTCTGGGCATTTGACAGTCGTGAGAAGTCGGTAGTCAGACTCCTCCTTTCTACTTTGAGTATTTTCGTTAGCCGTGGAGGCGCCGGAGACGCATTAATCTTAAGGTCTAGCACAGATATTGCTGCCCTTGAAAATGCTTTAGTGGATCTGGGAGTGGGGGTAGAACAGCTTGTAAAGCTCACACGAATTACAGAGAGGCTGTACAGGGCTCCTGTAGGAGGACAGTGGCTATATATTAAGCTGGACAGATAGACCGAAGCTCCTATCAAAGTGCTTTCAGTACATATGATTCTGTTAAGGTGTACGACTATTAATAGATGGTTAGAGACTTCCCTCAAAATAATGGATTGCTGCAATATATAGTCCATTGAGCTATCCAATGAACTCAAAGTACGAATGATTACCATGCTGAAATCCTAGGGCTATACTTGCGAACCACTATAAAAGTCTTTTTAAGTTTATCTTCCCCACACGCGGGGTAACCCAAAAAAGCAATGCACACGTGATCACCCAAAAGAGTCACACAAGGTCATACATACATACATACAGACAAACAAACAACAAACAACCAAATCCAATTGGACAAAAGAGACCCAAACCACCCAAAAATGACGAACGATGATTGTTACTCTCCTACTCCGGAAAACTATGAAAAAGCCCAAGCCCTCGTCCTCTCACTCGTAGAAAGATGCCGAGACCTCATCGGCGAACTGGACGCCTTCCGCGCCCTTCTCAAGAAAACGCAACGCAATCCCCAACTAGTCGAGGTCCGATCTCTGCGCTCCAATGTGGTCTCCGAGCTGCGGACTCTTGAGAAAGTATCCGTTCAGATACGCGCGCGTGCGGATGCAGCAGCAGCTGACGGTGAGGAAGAAGAAGAAGAGGAGATTGAGCCAAGACTGATGCATGCGCTGCGGTCGTCGAATTTGCCGTTTTACGAGACTGTTTGGAATATCGCTCGCAGGAGTTGTACTGGGTTGGTTGCGTTTGGGAAGAGGTTTTATTGGGATGGGGAGGGGGTGGCCGAAGATGAGGGCAAGAAGAGGCCGAATAAGGATAAGCGGAAGAGTGCCTTTGTGGATATTGTGGCGGATGATGGCGAGGAGTGGGTGAAGGTTTCTACGATTTCGGAGACGAGGCTTTTGTTTGAGATGGCTAAGAAGGGGTGGGAGGCGGATTCGGATGCTGAATCCGGGGAGGAGGAGAGGACTGTTTTACGGAATTTTGACGACGGTGGTTCGGATGATGAGGATGAAGATGAGATTGAGTTGGTTAAGTTGGCGAGTGATATGAGGAAGGCTGCCAATCACACCAGGGTGAGGTATAGGCATCCTCGTCTAAGACTAGTGATACCAAAGATTGAAGAAGGCGAGAGCCGTGAGATTGATGATCTATTGAAGGTATTACGAAACTATGATATCATGGTGGAATGTGGTGAGGGTGCACTGTCTTCCAGGGTCGGTGATAACGACGACAATGTCCCCAGTGCAACTGCTGAAGGGCATCTACACCATCTTCTCCCCACACCCTTCAAGAGCTTCACTTCCACCTTGAACGTGGATTGCACATTGTTGCTTGCCTTGGTATCGGATGTCTCACATTTTAAAAATATAGAGCCTTCGCCAGAGTATCATAAGGCCATCATCCGACAGCTCGAGTTCGAGCGTGAACGGCCATTGCTGGCCACAGAGCTTTGGCCAGCAATGGAGGGACACGACTTAGTGTGTACCGATGAGGCCACAAGACGTATGCGTGAGATAGTGAATACCATTGGCACCGACACTGAGAAGAGACGAACGGAAATATTATTCGGCGACACCCCATTCGAGAGTCAAGGGACCAAATCTGTCATTCAGGGGTTCCAGGAACTGTCTGATTATGAAATACCACCACAATTAAAGATGCCCGTTAAGACAGTCAAAGCCAAGTCTTTGATCGATTCAGCAATAGAACAAGGCAAACTCCCTCCAGTCTTCCACAAAGTGGCAGAAATCTTGTCCAATATTAACCACAGTGTGTTCTTTTATGGCTGGGTGACCGGAATGACGACCATATCGAGCAATCGCACTGTGGTTAAACAGATCGAGACAATCATTGAACAGCATAGGAATGGTGACGAAGACTTGGAGGGGCCGCAGGTTTGGGTATGCGATACAGCCAGGAGCTTGATTGGAAAAGAGAAAGGCCGGAAAAGCTAGAGAATCGTTTGTTGGACCGAGATAAAATATAGAAGAATGGCTTTATAGAGACGGTATCAGTCGTGATCAGCAAATCGACACCATCCTGAGCAAGTGTGCCGTTCCATTTGCAGAGCAGGCACGGAGGCTGTCGCAAAGTCAAACTCTTGAATCCAGTCACCTCCGCCCGATGTTCCGAAGTTATTGCAGCCTAGTATTACTTCTCAGGGGCTCTAGAACCCTCTTCTGGCAACCAGAAAACGATATCTTTATCAGCAGTAGCCACCATGTTGTACCGCGGGTTGTACTCGATCAAAGAAGTCCGGCCACGGTGAGGCAACTTGCACACTGGCTGTAGAACGTTATTGGCGTCTGGCGACTGCTGCAGGTCCCAAGCAAGAACATCTGGGTGGTCACCCGAGCCTCCAAGAACAAATCGTCCGTCCGGGGTAAAGCAGGCGTCTCCCTGGCCAAGAGGCTTGCCCGTTGTTGAAACCGGAGCAGCTCTACCAGGCGAGCCATTCTTGCCAACCAAGAACGCCTTCATAATTCCTTCAAAGGCGTCGAGGACAAAATGTCCATGGTAATCTGTTCCGACCAGCAAGTGCTTCCCGTCATTTGAGAATTCGAGGCGGGTCCACGCTCTTCCTCTTGTAGAAGGTGTATATCTTTCTTCGTAAGGCGCGAGGTCAAAGGTAGAAAAAGGAGATTTGTCGTAATTGCGGAAGTCGTAGAGTAGAACCGATGAAGTTGACTGGGACGCAATGGCGATAACAGAAGCAGAAGGGTCAAATGCAGCAAGGTATGGGGTGGCGAGCTTTAATTTGCCCTGCGCATTTCTCGAACTGAGATCCCATATCGCGACAGTATTATCTTTGGAACATGAGACAAACGAATCACTGCCTGGCGAGACGGCCAGACATGTTACTTTGTCTGTATGGCCGGAAAAATAACGCACGTATCCTTCATTGTGTAGATCAAGCAATCGTAACGAGTCTGGCCGGCATCAGCAAAAAGCCATCAGATGTCTTGAGACTCACGGTCAGATAAGCATACCATCGACCTTTGTACTTGCGTGGAGGACCTGACGGGAATGATGCGTGAATCTTGCTAGATGAGCTCCATACTTTTTACTAGGAACAGACTTCGTAGTCTTTCCTTCCTTTATGTCAAAGATTTGGATGGTCTCATCGTCCCCTGAGGATACCAGGTAATCGCCTTGGTCGTCGAAATCCAACGAGGTTACGTAGGAGGACGAGTCTTGCTTCGATGGTTTGAATGCCTGGAGTTGAGGAGTCAATGACACCACTCGCATCAACTGTAAGTATACGTATATACCAACCTTCGTGGGGCGAAAGCTACGAACAATGTCCGACACTTTCTGGCATGGAAGAGGGGTCTGCTGCTGCGGTTGTGATTGCGGCGGCGGCGGGGGAGGCGGCGGTTGCTGCTGTTGCTGAACTTCCGCCATGGTTATGACGGTGTGGCGTGATAGAGAACCGGGTTAATTGTAAATTAGGCCAAGCTGACCTTTACTGTCAAACCACTGACACAATCTGTCACTGTTGTTGAGATCTTCTGCGGGTTATTCCTGAGCTGCGGAGCTTGAGCTTCTGTATCACGATTGCCCCAGGAAATTTGGCACGTTTGTCTTAACTCCGAGGGCAACAACGTTGTTCCAGACCGGCGGTTAGTATCGGGGCGCCTACTGGCCCATCTGGTCGGTTTAGCCCCGATGGTCGGAGCCCCGTTGGCAGGAACTGCCCCATTGAGCCAATCAACACTTCAGGAATCCCAATCGGCAAAGCTTAGACTGGATTTTATGGAATTCTTACGGGAAGATCAATGCTCCCTGTCTTATCTGACTTTCGCTGTTTCTTCAACTTCAAAAAACTATCTGCCGATCTTTCACTTGTATTCTCCCGCAAGTCTTTGTGATCCCTTGTGTGGGTTGTCCGTCCTCGATCCCAAACTAGACTCAGCGTCAAGTCCCCGTCCAACCCACAGATACCCTTAGCATCCCTCCGCTTACGGAGGCTATCCGTCAGAGAACATGTCGACAACAACAGGGTGCGTGGTACTCGTATAACACAGCAAGCCAGGATCTGCCTCTGCTAACGCTCCGCTTTCCAGAGCGTTCATCGCAGGAGGAATCGCGGCATGTGGAGCTGTTACAGTGACCCATAGTTTTGAAACAGTCAAGATCCGGTATGCGCCTTGCTTTCTAACCCTGACGTGCGAGATCATATCGGAACACACACTGATCTCATTCGGCCGGTAGACTACAATTGCAGGGAGAACTACAAGCAAAGTCCGAAGCGGTCAAGAAATACAAGGGTGTTTTCCACGGCGTCAAGGTCATTTTACAGAATGAGGGCCCCCGTGGGCTGTTCCGAGGCATCGGTTCCGCTGTACGTGTTATGCCAGGGTTTGCGGAAACAAAAGAAATGGCTAGCTGACCGTTAACTTAGTACATCTATCAAGTGTTGCTCAATGGCTGCCGTCTAGGATTCTACGAACCCCTACGCAAGACTCTCACAACAACGATCTATCAAGACCCCCAAGTCCAGTCGTTGGGTATCAATGTCTTTGCTGGTGCTGCCTCAGGTATCATCGGTGCTGCTGCAGGTTCTCCATTTTTCCTTGTCAAAACTCGTTTGCAGTCTTTCTCGCCGTTCCTTCCAGTCGGTACGCAACACAACTACCGAAACTCGTTCGATGGACTACGAAAGATCTACACTTCTGAGGGAGTAGGCGGGCTATACCGTGGTGTCAATGCAGCCATGGTCCGGACAGGTTTTGGTAGCTCTGTCCAGCTGCCTACCTACTTCTTTGCTAAGCGCCGCCTGGTCAAGCATCTGGGAATGGAAGATGGCCCCGCTCTTCATCTCGCCAGTAGTACGGCTTCTGGGTTTGTCGTATGTTGTGTCATGCATCCTCCTGGTATGTAATGATCTCTTAACAGCGGTGATTTCCTGCTTACCTGTCTATCCAGACACTATCATGTCGAGAATGTATAACCAGACCGGTAATCTCTACAAGGGCGCATTGGACTGTCTATACCAGACCGTTCGTAAAGAGGGGTTGCTTGCTATTTACAAGGGTTATTTCGCTCATTTGGCCCGTATTCTGCCTCACACTGTAAGTAACAATCAACACTGGGCTAGATGGCGAGGTTCGGTCCGCTAACCCGATATAGATCTTAACCCTCAGCTTGGCCGAGCAGACCAACAAGCTCATGCGCAGAGTTGAAAACCGATTCCTTTCTGACTCAATGAAAGAAGCACTGTGATGGGCCTATAGATTCTTACGACATATTAGGAAGGGCACATAATAAGAAGGTTGTGGCTGTTTAGTCTTTTTCCAGAAACTTGGGTGATTAGACCTCATTGAGCGAGTGTCGACTCACTAGGGTATGTATATAGAAAGCGTTGACTCAGGTTCCACAAGTCATATTACCTTTTAGATTCTGTATATATGAGCCAAAAACGGTTAGATGGGTATCAGAAATGCTCCACGTTAAACTATGTACCTTGAACATGTTTTGATTATAATCTCTGCATTTAAATGGTGGTGTCAAGAGGTCTAGAACACCTAGTCAGAAGGTACTTCGTATGCTGACAGGTATGCAGCTCGATGGCACGCGATCTCAATTAACGCGTGTGGGTCTGATGATGAGCTTGCGGTTATAACTGTCATGTTGGTTATGTTAACCAATAACTTTGGAAAGGGAAAGATAAACTGTTGGGCATGATATTTTGCACAGAGTCTATACAGGAAGCCAAAGTATAAAACATACGACCTGCATACAAGCTCTATGCTGTATAGTATAGATGTTAAAGGGGACATGGAGAAACGAGTCCACAGTCGCGTTACCGCGTCTTAATGTGTCAACACAGTCATATAACGTCATTGAAGATTACTAAAGTACGCCCAAGCATGACAAAAGTAAATAGTCCCACTCCTAAAAATTTCTTGACCCGAAAATAATTGATGTAAGGAACTCCATATCAGGGCTGTAAACCCGTAAATCCGCGCCGGATGCCTAACTAGGCTGAAGCTGTGGGCTGGGAGTGCCAATGGAGATGCTGTCCACTCGCGTCGCGCGCCAACTCTTCCAAGCCTTAGACATTCTGTACCTGCAGATCTCCATTCATTTGAGCGACCCCAATGGTCAATTAAGCGGTTTTCAGTAAGAGATCTGAGTTACGGACTTTGCTCAATGTAGTATAGCGTGAGATGGCTTGGGATAATTGAAAGTGTTGTGACGCTCACGAGCTGACGCGAGACAACAGTTCGAGAGAGTGTATAGTACAAAGTACTATGTGGCATTGAGAATGAGTGTAACATATGACGTTCTTTTAAACCCCTTCTTAACGGCAAATTGATGTAATATTGTATGGAGCACCTAGTGATCACTACGTATTGCTACTACTAGTGGTAATATTAGGTCGACTTGGTGATTTGATCGCATCAGATAAGATAAAAAACCCTAGTCGGGTGACGAACACCAACATGACCACATTCGGCGTTCTAGATGGCAACCATTTTCAAATATGTGGAGATGTAACCCTTAAAGGTTTAAACAGTGGAGATCGAAATCACCGGAGGGGAGAAAAAGCCAGTGGTCTGACCCAAATGGATGGGTAAGCAAGGCACGAAAGACGCAATGAAGCGTGTAGACGCGTCGTCCATAACACCGGATACCCGCCAGCCATCGGCTCAGAGGCGCGCCAAGTCACGTGCGACGTGACTTAGCCCGTCGCGCTAAGGATCACGCCCTCGTCCGAAGCAAGTATTTCTGCCGGCGTGCCCTCCTCTTTTGCAGCTCTTTTTTCCTCATCCCAAATTCTCAGCCAAAATTACTGGAGCGTTCCTGAGTCTGTGTCTTTAATCTTTCTCATATATTCAATTGAAGACGTCTAGACACTACTACATAATGTCCGCGCAGGTCACTCCCTCCAAGCAGGTACGTGATGTCACGTCTCGCCTCCTAGGGTTGACGCGTCTGTAAGACAGTATGAGCTAACCACGACCGTTTGGCAGGCTGCATCCTCTTTCGAGAACCTCAAGATGAGCGACTCACCTGTCAAGAAGCTCAATTTCGAAGCCGCAGGCAAGGAGAACACTCCTTCGTCTCTCCAGGTCACCGACGTGCCCGCCACCAAGGCCCCTGTTGAAAAGCCTACCGATGTCTCCTCCAAAATTGCTAGCATCAAGGAAATGGAAGCGAACGAGCCCCTGCTCCAAGAGAACCCTCATCGCTTTGTTCTGTTCCCCATAAAGTATCATGAGGTGAGTAGCAGCACGTCTACTACGCGTCACGCGTAAAGTGGATTTCATCATCCGTACTGACCGCCCCCGATCAACACCGTATACTAACCTCTTCCTTTAACAGATCTGGCAAATGTACAAGAAGGCCGAGGCCTCTTTCTGGACCGCCGAGGAAATTGATCTTTCTAAGGATCTTCACGACTGGCACAACCGTCTGAACGATGACGAGCGCTACTTCATCTCCCGCGTCCTTGCCTTCTTTGCTGCCTCTGATGGTATTGTCAACGAAAACCTGCTCGAGCGTTTCAGCGGAGAGGTGCAGATCCCCGAAGCTCGTTGCTTCTACGGTTTCCAGATTATGATTGAGAACATCCACTCGGAGACCTACTCTCTTCTGATTGATACCTACATCAAGGAGCCCAAGCAGCGCACCTACCTCTTTGACGCCATCGATACCAGTATGTTAATCCGGCTAACACAGTTACTGTGCTGTTACTGACACTAAGTAGTTCCTTGCATTCGCAAGAAGGCCGATTGGGCTATCCGCTGGATCCAGGATCAGGAGTCGACCTTCGGTCAGCGTCTCGTAGCCTTCGCTGCTGTTGAGGGTATCTTCTTCTCTGGATCCTTCGCCTCCATCTTCTGGCTCAAGAAGCGTGGCTTGATGCCCGGTCTTACATTCTCTAACGAGCTTATCTCTCGTGATGAGGGTCTCCACACCGACTTTGCTTGCCTGCTCTTCTCGCACTTGAACAACCGCCCCGACCCCCAGGTTGTGGAGGACGTTATCGTGGAAGCTGTCGCCATTGAGAAGGAGTTCCTGACTGACGCTCTTCCTTGCGCTCTTCTTGGCATGAACTCCAACTTGATGTGCCAGTACATTGAGTTCGTCGCCGACCGTCTCCTGGTCGCCCTTGGCAACAAGAAGTACTTCAACGCTACAAACCCCTTTGACTTCATGGACAACATCTCTCTGGCTGGTAAGACCAACTTCTTCGAGAAGCGTGTTGGTGACTACCAGAAGGCTGGCGTGATGGCTAGCACCAAGAAGGAAGTCAAGCAGGATGAGAGCTCCGGCAGCGCTGGCGGCCTCAGCTTTGACGAGGACTTCTAAACCAACTTCACGAATATACCCGGCAGTGTGCCCGCTGGCATCTGCCATCAGATACGAGCTAATTTTCCTCTTGGTCGGTTTTTTTTTTTTTTTCCCCTGGGCTCCGCGTTATTGATTTATGAGGCTATTTGAGGTATAAGCATGGGTTTGGCGTTGGATTGGCGGGACTTGTTTTTCTCAAATGTACTGTCAGTGTCTTAGCCGGCATTCGACCCTTAATATGGGATCGATGGGCGGTAGACTGTATTTAAATAAATAGGATATCACTGTACATTCAATTGGATATACCACGATATAATCGAAAAGTCACTGTTTCTTGAGATTGCTTTTGGTCTGAATGTGATATTCGCTCCGCATAGAAGGCACGTAAAAAGATGTAAAATCTCTATGTACAACACTTACATCATTAGAGTATGAAGTCCCTTGAGTACTAGTGCGCGCCTGTCGGTGATAAAGGGATCTGCCTCCCACTCCCCATCCCTCTGCATAGGCCAACCATGCGCTATGAGATACTGCCAGAAGCCCGGAGTACGTTAAGTATGACTGCGCCAGCCCGACGCACTGCAAGTCAAGAAGGGCCGATATACCAGGCCCTATGATACCAATAGGAAAAACCTCGGCGGCAGCCAGCAAAAAGAAAAATCCATAAGCACAGACGTCCGATGTCCCTCAAACCACCCAAAAAACAAGAAGAAGAAGAAGGAAACAAAAAAAATAGAAAAAGAGAAATATCACCTCTTTCCCTTCCCACCCTTCTTCTTCCCCTTCCCGCCCTTATTCCCCTCCGTCTTCGCCGCAGGAGCAGAACCCGTCCCCTCCTCCGGCGCATCAGTCATCTCCACATCACCACCAGCCTGCGCTACCGGCGCAGCAGCCGCATTTCCCAATCCCAACGCAGCCACATTCGCACCACCGGCTAGCTTTCCTAGAGATGTAATCAGCCGCCCTACCTCGGCGGCTTTGTTCGTGCGGTATTTGAGGCATATTCCAGAGGTTGGGTTGTAGGTCTTTATTGTGAGGGATGCGATTGGGGCCGTTGGTGTTGTTGATTCTTCGGTTGGTTTGGGCTTTTGGGAGGAGGGGAAGTTGTATTTTGTTGTTATGCGGGTCTGTGGTTTCGAGTCATTGTGTTAGTTAGGTGGTATGCTTGGTTTGGGGGTAGGTTTGGATTGAGGAAGGTTCCTAAAGTGAGGAGAGTTGTTGACTCCTGAGATTGTGGGATTGGGGATTGAATGCGTGAGTAAGACGTACGCCGTTTGGGTATGCTTCGAGGAGGAGCGCTGATTGTTCCAGGTAGGCCTGGGAAGTGGGAAGGTATGGCATGTTGGTTCGGGGTCGCGGTGGTTTCCTGAAAAGTTTCGAGGGTGGATCGATTGAGGGTGTTTTGAGTAATAGAAGAAGGTTTTAGAGGTTTTCTGTGTTTGTTGGGTGGTGAGGTATTATTATAGTGAGTGGAGGTGTGATAAATGGTGGAGTGCGGACAGTTTGCTTGCAATTGTCAGTAGTCGAGTCTTGGCGGAGAGCAGCGGATTTATTATCTACTTCGTTGATCGATTACGATTTTCCTCCTACTTTAATCCACTATACTTTGAAAAGCTTGTCTCTTGTACATTTAATCATTTGTCGCGTATCCTAAATACATCCTATATATCTGCTACATACATACCAGACCTCCATCGCGTTCCTGTAAATGCAATATTATGAACACCCGCCAATGCAATATTTTCCAAAATGGGATATACTGGAAAAGAAAAGTGAGAGGACCACATCAAATCATAAACAACACAAGAAAATCAGTCTATGGCCTGGGAGCACCGTACGCAGATCAACTTCTGCTTCCCATTTCGTCCTTTTGTGGCTCGGAAATTCGTTCCCTCACAGTTGTCACACCGGAGCACATCTTCACTCTCATCTCCCTCCCCGTTTGACGATGCGTAATCACTACTCAGGACACTACCGACGCTCGGCTGACGTTGCCCGGGAACAGAAAGTCGATTGGGATCAAGAAGACGAGGTGAATCTCGATTCCGCGCAGCTAATGCGTCTCGCGCGATCCTTTTGTAGAAAGCATAACTGTGGTCACCTTGTAGCCACAGAGGGTTGTCCTGATCTGGTCGCTTATTGGCAACTAATGATGGCGCTGCCTGGAGTGTCTTAGGAGCATTAGCAGCACCATTGCGTCCTGGTACTTCTGTACTAGATCCTGCACTATCCAACGAAGTCTTGTACTCCGTCGAGGTCTTGTAGGCGGAAGGCGGAGGGGACATAGTATACCCAGAACGTGATCCACCTCGTCTGGGACTCGAGTACTGCGACCGATCGGCGAGCCTCTGGGGAGATGGGCTCCGAGTCCGTGTCCCTGGGTGATGGCCATCCTTTCGCTCCGTATGGCCGATCACAGAGTTGCGCCAGGAAATGATGCGCTCAGACGGTGTCTTATGAGATGACTCCTTTCCAATAGACGAGGCAATGCTGTGCCGCGCGGAGTTTGTGCGCCGTAGCAGTCTGCGAGAAATCGTTGAATGCGTATCCCAGCTTTCAAAGCGCCGTTTGTAGTACGCGCAATCTTGTCGCAGGACCTTGATCTTTCCGGAGTAGTCGGCTACTATGATAATGTTCCCTCCCGGATGGGTTGAGCGAGCAAGATAACCCGGCGATTCCTGAGCCTGTTTACTCGCTACCGAATTGCGATGAGGTCCGTTCTCTTTGGAACTACCTAGGGTTACGGGCGGCGGGTTGCAGAAATCGTAAATCGGATCTTCGGAAAATCCTAGTATCTGCTTCGTTTTCGAGGAAGCCATGATAGCCGCCGTCACCATGGCTGACTGTGGTTCCACAACTTCCACAGCACGTTTGTCCGAGTCCTTCTCAACAGGAGCTGTCGGCCACAGATAAGCCCGGCGATCCTCACTTCCACAGATGACGTGTTTTCCATCATCGCTGAACGAAGCTCGGATCTGGCTGCATGTATTTTCATTGCCGCGGAATTTTGCCTCCAGGGTCCGGTCTCTAAAGTTGTACATTCGAATCCGAGAATCGTTACTGGTGATCAATAGCTTGACCTCGCCCTGAGGGTCACCCTTAGGAAAAACAGCAGTATCAATCCCTGTAATTTTGCTGCCTTTAGCGTTGCGTCCACGTGCTGAACGAACATGGAACTGCGTGATTGGTTTAAGGCCGTCAGTTTCATAGATATTGCACATTCCGTTTAGGCAACCAGCAATCGAATGCCGGCCATCCGGCGTAAAAGCGACCGACGTGATCATATCGGGAACTGTCGCAACAAATGCCACACTCTTATCCGGGATACTCCAAAGCCGGAGTTTCGTGTCAAGTGAACCTGCAAGGAAGAAACGGTCGTCCCGGGGATGGAATTGAATCGAGGTAACGAAGTCGCTATGTTTGAATATACACAGACACTCAGGACGGCTCACATGCCACAGTCGCACCGTCTTGTCCATGGAAGAAGAAAGGAGAAAGTTGTTCTGCGGTGATGTTAGAATTACGACGGATGACTCGGTCTGGCATTGCTAATGACATACCTTGCTCCAACTCAGATCAAGCACGCTGCCTGTGTGGCCCTCGTACACCTGGACTGGCTTCGCCTTGAACACCGGCGCTTTCAACTGAGGAGGTTCATCACTATCCTGACTCCCATCTTCCTCCATCTCGGATTCCTGGCGGTCCTCCGATGAGGTAATAACAGCCCAGACCCGGACTTTACCATCTTGACCGGCAGCCGCCAGATATTTGCCGTCATTGGAGAACACCAGAGCCCACACTGCTTTCCCGGTGTTTTTACTGCTCCTTGCCCCCGCTACTGAAGACCCATCTTTTTCGGACGAGTTTGACACATCATCTGCACCTTCGAGCTCCTGCGCCACGAAGACTCGACTGAATGTTTTCTCTTTCTTGTAATGTGCCCTGACTCGGATGTACTTTGGAGGACGGGGGAATCGAGGAAAGAACCCTATCGGTTGCGCAGTGTCCATACGAGCAGTATCCGGTTCAGAGACATCGTCGTCGTCGTCGAGAATTTGATCTTTCTTTTTACCGCCAATGATCCGGCTGAGAAACGACACGCCTTTTCTATTTGGTCAAAGTGGTTCGATTAGCCTTCGAAATGAAATGCAGAAAAATAAACGTGTGTTATCTTGCAGTGCGGGGCATATCAAGAAAGGTGAAAGCGCAGATAGAGAAATATAACGGATCCCTGCTGAACATAGGCACAGCACTCACTTCTTCTCCTTGGACGGCTTGCGGTGTAGCGCGGCATCTCCTCGGATTGGGCCTTGCTCAGGTAGCCCGTCAGTTCCGCCAGCTTCCGCTTCGTATGACGCCCTTCCGAGTAGCTTTAAAGGGATCGACTTCTCCGTATTGGTGCGTTTAATAATATGCTGCATGATGCAAGTTTGATCAGCAACTGGTGCACCCACAACACACATGAGTGATCTAGTGACTATATTATTCGTACCTGCGACAACGGATCTATTGCGCTAGAGTCGGCGCTGACTTCGACGAGGGTTGGAGACGAGAGCGAACTCCTAGTAACCCCGACAGAGGCATTACTTTGGCCCTGACCTGACCGAGAATTCTTTCTAGCATCGAGCGGGTTGCCACTGAGGGACGATGCTACATCCGACGGAGCCGATCCTATATAGAGAGCGCATAAGCATGGGTGGCAGATGACGAGCACAATGCGCCTTTGTCGTTTGTTTGACGTCGCTGCAGGTCATTGACATGTGAAAGGAATCAAGGGGTGAAAGTTCGGACGGTATCATAATTTCGAACTCATCAGATATGACACTATCGAGACAACTGGACATACCGATAGGGAACGACTGAGAAGTCCGCAGCAGCGCCGGGTTTCCCTCATTAGGACTACCGCTGTCCTTATTGATTGTTAGGTTGCTACCATTCCTCTTAAGACTCGAAGAAGAGCCGGTTGCAAGATTGGTGACGATCGCGGGAATAGGCAAGGCGCGCGATGCCGAAGCGCCTCGGCTGTCAGTCTCCTTGGGCGCTCGCAAAGCCTCCGTCATGGTTAGGGCGGCGCCCCAGAGTGCGCATGTGGAATCGGAAACGTTTGGCGGAATACCACCGTATGGTGGGAAAAGGGAAAGAAAAGAAATTACTTGGAGTTTGCGAGAGATTATGGAGACCGAGAGGAAACACGGCAATACCCGGATGAATCGGAGATTAGAATGACATCAAGGGTCCGGGCATTGACCCTTAGTTAATTTTCCCTAGTATTTTAATTTGGTTTCGCATGCCATTTTTTTAGTCGCAAACTGTTTTAGTTCGGGGGCGAGAAAAGTCGCATTCTGGAACGACCCATTGAAAAGCGACGGCGCGGAACGGTTGGTTAGATATAACAGCCTGAATAAAACGCAGTGAGAACTTAGAAGTTCTCTGGTTTCTACTCAAAGTACCGGTAGCAAGGAATCGATGCAATGATAACAATATCTCGGCAAGGTTTTTGCGTAAGTCTGCTCCTGTCATGCAAGTCAAGCATTTTAAGATCAGGGCGTGGGGTTCGCGTTTTGGTAGCTAAAAATACTTGGATTGGATTGTGTCATAGGTGGTTCCACGCCTCATGAAGTAATGACTATTGCCAAGTAATTAACTGACTAATGGTCAAGATCTGGGATTCAGTGACTGACTGACACTGTTATCTCCGCATTGATTTGATTGATAATAATATATAGTATATCTTTCTAGAAGACATGACAAATCGTTGGAGTTCTATTCTGATGATACAACACATAGACCGGAGCAGAGTTCTCTTCTGAATTGGTCTCCACATCGGTTGCCATAGCCACAACGCTTGACCACCACTCACGCGATCTGACGATCGTGACTGGATGTCCGCATTGAACAATAAGCCCCCTTGGACTGGGAATTTCCCTGACCATGGACTATCTTAATCTGACGACGCTTAATTGCGGCGATATACCCAGATTATTCCGCCTATAGTATGTTCTTCAAGTATCTATATCCGCGACGCCTGTTCCAATTTCCGTGCCCGATCTTTAGCTATATCACACATTGCCTGAGTCCGTAGATTAGTGCTCTCAATCCGTCACGCGAGCACGATACAACTTACCTGGATAGTTTCTTCTATCTCCCTCTCGGCATCACCTCTGTTAATCCTTCGTCGCATCTCCACCATGATAACGTCTCGGCTCCGTCCATTGACAAAAGTTCTAGAACCAGAAAAAAAAAAAAAGCGTCAAATTAGTCTTGATCGTTGACGGGATATGACATGGTCACGAACACAAATCTTAATCCTGGGAATTTCTCCTCGTATTCAGCGTTCAGCAGTCGCAATCGTTCCGCTAACTCCTCTGCTCCTATGTTCAACTGCGCTTGTTCCTTCTTGCTCAATTCACTTATATGCTCAGATTGCGCCACCTTCGGTCGTCCCAGACGGGGATGCGACCCCAAGATTCCAACGAGAACGGCTTTATCAGTCGGCGAATTCGCTGCGGATAGAGCGGACATGCGGCCTCCGACGGCATCAATCAAACTAGCATACGAGGAGAACGTCTGATTGGCCAAAATAGGGGCCATCAGCGCATGAAGTTCCGGAGATGGCTCAAAGAGCGTATCAAGAACCTGGAACTGTTGTTCCTGTGGGAGCGATGTGAGGGATGACGGTGAGGGGAGACTGGGAGACATGGCGATCTATGCGCGGTGATTTTCCGACGAAGTAACGTCCGTGCAGATATGATACTGAGTGTACAGTTAAGGTAGCTTTTCTTTTGAAAATTGGTTGGGTTTCGATATATAGTGAAGTCGATGGTCCCCGCATCGGCAGTCTCCGAGCAAGGCGGAGAACTCCAGAGCGGAAAGCATTGTACTGAGTAGGGCGAGTATGTGGGGAATTGGAAAATTGAATAAAATATCCCACTGATTTCCTAAAATATTCTGAGTTTCAAAATTTGGACAACGTTATTGTTTGTGTGACTAATTAAAAGCTTATGGCAAACCCCCACAAACTAGTGGGAAAAAAAGTGAAGAATCTATTCCGTAGGGTGGCATTTTTGGTCTTCTAGAAGCACTCGATGGGATACTATTTTGGTGGTTAAGGTTTGTATTTCTGGACAAACTGATTAGCCTGATCGGATTGATTAGATCTTCTAGTACCTGTGGTCCTGTACCCAGTTACCAACTGAACAAGCTAGGCATCGCAAAATTCAGGGGTCCTGGGCTTTGGATAGCGCAATACGAGACCTTAAACTAGTAGTACTCTGGGCTGGAAAATATTTCATGATTTACACGAACATCGAGACCCGAATGACCATCACCTGTATCATTCAACATTACGATTAATTGAAGACCAAAAACTTAACTAATAGTTGATACGTTCCAAGATGTCAGATACCATCTCAAAGTTACTTATTAAAATAAAAATAAAATAAAATAAATTGCGCAACGGAAGATATCGAGTACAACTGCAGTTTGCAAATGCCAGGTACATACTCGTACAAGGACCTGAATAAAAGGAGACAGCCATTGATTGGATATGACCCCCCCCTTACTGACTTTTCTTTGACGTGCCCCGATTGGGAGTCAAATAATTGACTTCCTAGGGCGTTGACTCCTATTCGGGGGAAGGACGACCTGCCTAAAAATATCGGATATTGGCATTTTAAGTGAGAGCTAGTACTTCGTAGTACTCTGTACGGAGTACCTAGGTAGATAATAGATATAGGGTAATTTACCCATGTACTCCGTATGTTCGTTGTATGTACTTACAAAATTGGTTCCATAGGGACAAGGTGCCGTTCCGAGTCCCCCGTTAGTGGCTGCGATCATCCCTCATTCATCTCCGATCCAACAATTCAATGCTGATTGTGGCATGTTTGATTCTGGTGCTCTCAACGGAGTCTCATTACCATTAATGACACCAGACTGCAATACTGTGGAGTACATCAATTATGGTTCATGTTCCATAGAAGTAGCCGAGCTTGTACTGTGTACCTGAACCAAACGAGGAGATTCATTCGACATTCGTTGGTTACCATTGGGGGGGGCCAAGAAAACGTGGAGACAAGAAGTGGAGGTTATCGGACCATCCACTAAGAGCCCCTGAACTCCTGAGAGGTTCGTGAAATACACACCACCGTCTCGACTCGCCTCCATTCAATGATCCTGATATCTAATTACCCGTGCTAGTTGTCCAGCCTGGGGGTGATCTCGGCTCGCAGGAGGCTGTCCTTCTGCTACTTCTCCAGATCATACCTACCTTCTGGCTAGAACGCTCTCTTCTTCTTTGTGTTTTACAATCTTCAGTCGTCCCTCGTTGCATTCGTCCCCTCCCCCTCTTTCCTTTCGGACACCAGCAGACTCGCTACACTTCTTGCTTCACACTGCGACATTCTTTTTATTTCTATTTTTATCTTTCTTTTCCTTCTTCACCGATAAAGTCTCGCCTCCCATGCAGTTCTCGTCATGTCTCTCAATGGGCTAGATAATCCCGCTGTCATAGAAGCCTATCAAACCGCTTTAACCGAAGCGGGAGGATGGTAAGTCGAAGTTGTTTCCACTACTCCCGGCGCAGTTGATGTTTCACGGATGCTTGCATCAAAAAAATCACAGTACGATTAAAGCAACCGCTGATCATCCCTTTCCGCATCTAGGTTTCTTCTCCAGTATGTATCAAGGGATGAAGTGGCTCTACTCGATCGGGGGACCGGCGGGGTGCCCGACGTACGGAATGCGATCGACGGTTATGAAGAAAAGTCTCCGCTTTATGGTTTTCTACAATATCGTCGCAGGAAGGTCGTGCTCAGCTATCTACCGGAGGGTATCTCTCGGCTCGTACAAGGTATATCCTTATTACCCGTCATCCCAATCTCCACTCTTACTGATGAGATCTTGCGCCCACCCTCAGCCCGTACAACCGTGCAGTTTCAGTCGATTCTGGACAAATTCACTCCACATGATACTGTATTCTCTCTTTCACAGCCATCGGAGCTCACTGAGAGCGCACTATCCTCCGCATGTCTACTACATACCGCTTCAGGTTCTATCACCTCCTCCTCGAATTCCCTCCGCCGTCGCAGGCTGATGGAAATCGCGGAAGATGCAGAGGAAACCCCCGGCAGCAAAGACGCTTCGCCACCGCCAATCTCGACCAAAGACTTTCGGCAAAGATCGTTCAGCCAACTATCAGAAGCAACCATCGTCGCCTCGCCGGTCACGTCCGACGCACATTCTATTCGCCATGGCACCGAGACATCATCCCCGACGAAACCACCGGATGATACCCAAGCCAACGATCGTCCTCCTTCGATTGCCGGCGACCACCACTCCGAGCGTCCGGCTTCGCGTAAGACCTCGCGGGACGAGCTGTCATACTCCGAGCCTCGAAGGTCTTCTCAATCAGCTAGGCTATCTTTAAAAGAGCTAGAACGTACAGGTGTGTACAAACCAAAGGTCAAGCTCGGTCCTCGGCCTTCGGTAGATGAAAGTGGACGGCCACGCACCGCAGGGAATCTGTCACGAAGCGCAGAACAGCGACCGGTCGCTTCCTTGCCAGCTGGCATGCGGTCGTCTTCCCTGCGAAGGAGCAATCCTAATCCCGCTCGTCCCCGATCCCAGGGAAGCACTGTAGCATCTATGTCTGGCCGAACGGTCCCTCCGGTGCCTCCTTTACTCGTACCTCCCCTGTCGATGCCTATTTCTAGACCCCAACTGTCGCCTGGTGCAAAGTCATTAAGCGCATTATCATCTTCCGGGACATCCCAGGAAAGGGAACGGCTAATGAAAGCGCTTCAGTTACGGAAAACACAGATGGAGAAAAGGGCACAAGAAGGGAAGAAAGTTCACCGAGACGTTGAAGAGAGAAAAGAATCACAATTCGACCCGATTGAGGACAAGGAGAACATTCATCATGCCCATGACAACATAAAACGTGTTCAAGCAGACGAGAATAAGGCTAGTGTTCTAGAGCATAGCAAGGGTCCCCTGTCGGAGACTCAGCCCACCGTTGTTCCAGAGCCAGTCGAGGTATACGATGAGCACATGAAGGCCGTTTCGGATACCGTAAACTCAGATTCAACCCCTGACATGTCGATCACTGATCTGCGAGACATTTCTGAAACAAGTGCGGAAAACCCGGGCGATGCTAAAGAGCCTTCAAAGATGGACCACTTCCATACCGCACAGTCGGCTTCTATGCTTGAAGATGACGTTGTTGGAGAGGATTTGACTAAGTCAATTGACGAAGAGACTAAAAGTGGTCCCGGCTCGCCTAGCGCGGGCAAAGAAGTCCCACTTGAGGAGAGGTCCCTCAACATTCCAGACGAAGAAATTGCCGTGCGTTCTCCACCAGCCGAGAATCCTCTTGCTCCTGTTGAACAGGAGACCGACGCCATTGGAGAACCTGCCGAGTCTGCCCTGCCTCAGTCCATCCCCGTACTTTCGACCCCCGATTCTCGCACAAGTTTAACTTCCGACTCCCCGACAACCCACGAGACTCACATTACTGAGACCCAGAATGACCTGACCCCTGAAGTGTCGGTCACGGAGCAAAAGGACGTCGATACCCGGAAGGAAAAGCGTAGACCTCACCTTGAACCTATTCAAGTGCCAACACCGGATTATTCGGATGACGATAATCTTTCCGATGATTCATTCATGGAGGAATTAAAGAGCGCCACACTAGAGGAAGCCAAGCCCATTTCAGTTGGGAACTCGCCGCTATCCCCGGGCTATTCTAATAATGGAAACGACCGAAGCCCCCCTGATGCATGGAAAAATTCACGAGCGGTTTCCAACCCAAGTGCTATCGGACGCCAACCACCCAACATACATGCACTAGCTGTGGGAAGGTCTGTATCGACACCTTATAATGAAGCTGATAGCTCTGTCCTGGTGGCTAAGAAGATCAATGTGTCTTCGGGCATCTCAAAACGCATCGCAGCCTTAGAGAAATTTTCGAGCCGTAGCGATGCGCAACCAAGCCCGAATCAGAACCTAACAGCACCTTCGTCGGCTTCCTTCGAGGCTCTTAGGAAGAGAGCCTCCGTCTCATTGAATGGCAATTCAGACTCAGCGCCAGGGTCTAGGCATGGATCGTTCACTCCTGAAAGTTTCTCTCGAGCTTCCAGCGTGAGGCGCCCCGACTCACAATCCAGTGCAAGCGTCAAACGAACAAATTCAGTGTCGGTTACAGCCCGGATAATTCGCGACTCAAATACTACTCCAGGAGATTCCAAGGCTGATCCTTCAGAGAACAGCATGCTCAATCTCCACGCTAGTCCCCTGACAGTTGAACATGACGCCTGCGACTCTCCTTCGCCCCATCCGTCGCCAGAACCTATGGCTAGCATGTCGAAAGAGCGCAGCATGTCTCCGTCTTCCGTCGGCTCGAGTAACCAGCCTCCTGCACAGTCAATGCCACGCTCAGAGAGTCGGATGTCTATCTCTTCTGCCACCAAGAATGAAGGCACTTCAAGTCCTGTCGTGGATGTCCCTTTGTCTCCGGAAGGAAAGAAAGAATCTCGCGCATCTCGACTTCTTCGTCGTATGTCATCTATTACCTCAACTTCGCGGAAGAGTACATTTAGCTCACTAGGCCCGGTGGTTAAAGAAGAAAGCACGCCGCTTGATACAGGAGTCGAGACCGCGCAGGCAGTCGATATCGGAGAGGTCAATGTCCAGTTTCCTGACACGCTCCTCTGGAAGCGACGATTTGTTCGCGTCGATGATAAGGGGTACTTGATTCTGACTCCTGGAAATATTGATTCAAGTAACCGCAACATGGTCAAACGATATCATCTTAGTGAATTTAGGACGCCCGCTTTGCCGGATGAGGATCGACAGGAGCTTCCAAACAGTATCTTGCTAGATTTCCTCGACGGGAGCACTCTTCAATGCGCCTGCGAATCGCGACAAGGGCAAGCCTTTGTCCTTCAAAGTAAGTGGCCTTACCTGCATCATAATCGAGTATACGATAACTGATTGTGATTAGCTCTTGTCGACGCTCACAACGCCCATCAACAACTGTCTCAATAAATCGGCAAACACTCTTACATTCGTTTAAAGCTGTATACAAATGTACCCTGTTATGGAACCCTCGTCCGTCTTTTTGTCTTGTTTCCTTTTGGTATCTGAGTTTTCAGCGGTATACCCCTCTAAAAACGGTTTCCCTTTGTTTACCAGCTGTTCCTACTTAGTTCTCAGCAGACAGATCTTGCATTTCTCTTCAACCTTAGAGCGTGTTTTTCTTATTGGCTTTTACTCGTTGTTTGATGAGATGCATGATCTTATGATTTAGACCTATTGCCCAACAGCGAACCAACCGCTGTTTGACACGGGGAGGATCAGTAACTGACTTGTCATCTTCATTCCTTCCCTTATATCCTCTCGTGAATTCTTTGGTATGGGGTGATTGATTCATTCTACGCCTAGACTTGTTGCTGGATTTGGATACCTACATGGGTTATCAGGCCTCGATACCTATCAATGCCAGCGGATTGACAGCAATGCATTGAAAAGTTCAACTCGTCTCGTATCTTCTCCTTCCTTAAATGTGTATAGATTCGTCATTTTCTCTATTGACAATTTTGGACATTTGAATACATTTGCAAGCCTTTCAAATTTTATTTGCCCCGTATACACCTAGATAGAACAACACTCACATAATTACAGCAGACCCATATTATATCCAAGCGATTAGATTCACCGACCTTACCCTGCAAAGGCCAGTGAGGCTTAGGTTAATGTATGGTTAATTTTGATCGATAGTGGCCTCGGCCGCCCTTTTCTTCTCCCACTGTTCCAAGAACTGTTGTACCTTGGGCCCCCAAACCTCTTCGCCAGCCTCCAGATCCCGGTACTCAAGTACCTTGTCAGCACCAAGTTCGAAATCTGCCTGGCGGGTCCGGATGAGTTCACTCATTAGTCCACAGCTGCCAACGGCCTTGCCCAGGTCATGTGCCAAGGAACGGACATAGAAGCCCGAGGAGACGGTCATAATGATCTTAACAGCCGCGGATTGCGGTTGAGGGGCAGATCCAGCCTTCTCTGGCGGCGCATCTGACTTCTCTTCTGCCGTTTCTGGGGCATTTGACGACGATTGCTCAGTCTGTGCCGGAACCGCTTCGCCTTCAGCTGCCTTCTGCTTCTTCGCGGCCGGGGAGTTCTCACCCTCGTTCGCGGCCGGGGTATTATCTTCAGCTGCCTTGGGACTATCCGCAGGGGGTGGTGTCTTGCGTTTTGTCGAAGCCGAAGTATCTTGCTCTGCTGTCTTCTCGACTGATCCTGCAGCTTCGGCGGACGGCGCAACAGGTAGAGCATCATCTTTCGCGAGGAGCTTCTCGGCGACTGCCTTCTCCTCAGCAGCGGCCTCTTGTTCAGGCCATTTGAAGTCATGTGTACCAGGCTCGTACCACTCGAGAATACGCAGATCCGTCACCTCGACGGGTCTCTCCTGGATCTCAATTGGCGGCTCCTTGCCCTCACGAGCGTATTCGTAAAGTGGCTTGCCCTTGACCTTCAAGGCCGAAAAGATAGGCGGGCGTTGCATGATCTTCCCCCGGAACTGCTCCAGCGCCTTCTCAACCACTTCGCGCGTGACATGTTCATATGGAGCTCGTCGGACGATCTTGCCTAGTCGGTCGTAGGTGTCTGTCTCGGCTCCGAAAAGCACAATTGTTTCGTAGGTCTTGGTACATCCCAGGAAGTCATTGAGCTGTTTGGTGCCTTTTCCGATACCGGTGACTAGCACACCGGTTGCCAGGGGATCGAGGGTTCCTCCATGGCCAATTTTGACATCCAGACGTTGCGTGCGGCGCCGTCTGCGCTGGTTCTTGCTTTCGCGGTCTCGACGGGCGCGCTCGGTTTCTAACCAAGGCTTGAAGAGCTTTGAAGGGTTGAAGTGGTGTTGGAGGGTGCGAATGACATCGGCGGAAGTGACTCCTTGGGGTTTATGGACGGCTATTGCAGTTGTTAGCTCGCTATTGATTGCCAAAATACGTTGTATTTTGAGTGAAAGAAATGTGATGTGGAGAGCATACCGAAAACACCTTCGTAGATCTTTTCTCCAGACATGGTGGTTCGAAATAGCCTAAAGCCCGGGCGGAATCCCATCAGTCGCGGGAAAAGAGAAATTGGAGGAGAGTTGAAGTAGTAGCTTAGGCGATGCTGTATGCGACCAAATCTAGAAACAAAACAGCTCAATTGACCCGCAGCCCTAAATATCCAAGAATGAGAGAAGCTGTACTCTATCAACTGAACAACCACAGCACGGAACTGAAACTGCGACTGCGACTGGAAGGAAAAACAGCTGCGGGTTTGCGCCCACTTGCAAAAGGCGTAAACTTCGTAATACAGTCTGACGTATGGACCGCGTAAGATACGGAATTCATGAGTAGTGCATAATGGGTACCGCCTGGTAATTACCAGACTCAATAAATACAAAACCATCGTCTACTCTTTAGACCCTTTGGAATCTCAACAACGCCTGTCAATACCACCCGTTCTTCTTTATTTCATCCCGTTTCTCATTGTATCGGTTTCCAAGAGCCTCTTTGTGACCCCTTTCTTGCATGTCGGTCAAGGCATCATGCTGCCTCCGGAGACATGACATCGCGAGAAGATAGTGTCCTGGCCGCCAGAGACCCGTCTCTTGCTGACGAGAACGACTGGGAAGAATTCAGTCTATCCGAGGTCAGAGTCCTGGTCCCGGGCAAATCCCGCTATGCAAACCTCCTCACGGCCTCCCCGGACAATCCTGTCCAAGTAACCGGGTGCCTGGATGAGGTGGAGGAGGAGCAGGAGTCCCTCGGTGCGTTCCGATCTACAACAGCTCACATACCATAGCTCACGTCCCCCTCATTCTGACACATCAATCGCTGGAATCAGTGCTCGACCAAGACTACCTTACGAAACGAATTGTTCTTGAAAACATTACGCATTACGCTTACGGCCAGCATGATGATGGCGAGGTTGGCATCTGGGTTGCCGGCCGTGCGGGCTGGTTCTCCATCTCGCCTGCGAGGGGTTATCGGCCTATGTTCAATGATGTGGTGGAGGCCATCGATTTACTATATTTCTTAACGGACCGACACCAGAAAAGGCGGCGGAGCAAGCGGAGGAATCGGACTCCGAGCGTTGAATACTTGTGCGAGGAGGTTAGTGGATCCCCGTTCATGCGCTTGTAGTGGAGTATCGTCACTGACGTAGAACCCCTGGGATAGTACGTGAGCCATACGCATGGGATTTGCGAGGATAATGATGATTCGGCTGAAGTCTTCTACAAACATCATCACTTCCTACTTACCCGAATGCTTAAGGGCGAGGAGGGTGTTCAATGGGTCGATACAGACATTTTTGCGCACCTTCGTGAAAAGTTTCCGGTACTTGTCCCCCTCCTGTACTATCAATACCGGTAGCTTACTCGGTGGTTAGGAGGACTACGAAGAGATTAAGGCCGAATTAGAATCACCGAAGGCAGAATCAGAACCCGAAGAAGACAAAACCGACGATGAACCGGAAGAGGCAACCCATGAACCAGACCCAACCGCGGTCTCTAAAACGCAAACAGAGGCCATTTACCAGGTGATCCTTGACCTAAAGGAGGCCGGACACTTGGCGAAACGCCAACTAAATCTTGATCTTGTTGCCTCCACGATAGTGGGGCGCTTCGAGATCGATAGTGCAGAATATGCCCAAGACCTCATAGCCTCAAAAGCCGATGCAATTATAGAGCTCATGGATGAGGCAAAAACTCCAAATTTTGATTGGTCACGCAAAGTCATATACCGAGAATTGAAAGCCGCCGCGAAGAAACATGACGTGCAACAAATAGCGTTCACTCCACTACGACCTCGTTTATCCAACGAAGATGAGTCCTCTCAGGAGGACAGTGAGCATGAAGAAGAACAGCCCAGGTCGCGAAGGCGCCGGGTCCGTAAGTCTGTGCTGCGCCCTAAAAGCACGATCGCTAGCAAGAAAATTGGCAAGCGAACGAGGAGTGCCGCCGCAGCGGACGATGAATATCTATCAGATGGCAACCCTGATGCAATGGATGAATTTGAAACTCCCAGCAAAGTTCGCGGTCATGATCTTGTCCGCGATCCTTTATCTACGCGGGCGAAACGCAGAACCCGTTCAATGCTCTCCAACCCCGAAACTACGCCTTTTCAGAAGGCACCCGCGCTACAGGAAATCCTCCAAAGTCGCAATACGTCGGTCTCTGTCGGTGACCAGGCACCCTCGGAGTCAGACACTCTTAACGGAAATGAGTCAACATCCGATACATGGGTCTGTCAAGCCCGAGGTTGCGACGAAGTTATTCACAAGAGCAATACAAAACACGGCAAGGAGCTGGTTCGGGCTCATTCGCTCGAGCATGCAGATGATGCTAAGGTCAAAATGGACCTGGTCTTTTCCGAACACCAGCTCAATATAGGGTTTCGTGTCGATAATCTCCTTGAGCATATCCGAGGAATGGGCGGTTTAGATATTACAGCCATGGATGGGACAACAAATGGGACTACCGGGATTGGAGCGTAGCTGCAAGGCAGCATTCTATGATTTTGATAATATCCTTATTCAATACGAGCAAATCTTTTTTTTTTCCCTTTGGACCAAATCTGAGATTGTAGGACTTCACTATCCCCCAGTGGTATGTATACACGTCTGACCTTTCTCACAAGCAGGTACTAGAAGGAGCTTGATATTCAGTGACCCCATGCTAGTGAGCAGAGCCTCTCACTGCAATTTTAGGGTCATCGAAGCGTTGGTAAGCTTATTATGCTTCCAAAGCCGTCAGTGCAATCTTAGGGCCGCCGTATAGCTGGTATGGCATTTGACATGGCTGGGCATGCCTTTGTCAGCGATGTTAACATATCTCTTTTGCCAGCAAGTACTTAGAATGTACTAGTATAAGAAGGCAGGTGCTGTGGACAAGGTCATCCATATTATTTCAATGTACACATAGAGCAAACCCGAAACCGCGGAATAATTCCACGATTCTAGATCCAGAGTCTAGGAGATAATCGACAGTATTCTTTTTTGAAACCCCATAAAGCCAGCTTTTACATCCCATACAAGCAAAAATAAGAAGAACAAAGAAGTCAATCACATCCGTCCCTTGGCAGCAGCTCTCTTGCTCTTACCAGGCCTCTTAGCACCCCCCTTCATCTTCTTCACTGAGAAACTGCGCAGGTCTCCACTGGACATAGCATCACCGCTCTTGGCATGGCGCTTCTTCCCGCCGAAACCGTACTTCTCGTTCTTCTTCTGACGCTTCAGGTTGGGACCGCCACCATCCTCACGGCCACGCTTGCGGCCCTTGGACTCGGAGTTATCGATAGCGATGTCGAACATATCGTTGTCATTGTCTGTAGGGCCGGAGGGATTGGCCTTGCGCTCTGTTCAAACGATTCTGTCAGCAAACTCATTGCATGGAAGCCAATACAGCAAGGTCGAGGAACCAAACGTACTCTTCTTCAGATCATTGATCTTCTCCAAAGTCTCACGCTTCTCCTTCGCGCGCTGCTGCAACTTGGCGACCTGGACCTGCTTTCCGAACTTCTTCAGATCACGCTGCTTGCGAGCCTCCGCAGCCGCCTTCTTGCCCGCCGCCTCATCATACAGCTTCTTCTTGATCTTGCCCATGTGCTCATCCGTCTTAACCATCTCAGCAAAGTAATCTCCAGGCCGAGTAAACGGGATACCCTCCTTCTTGAGTAGTCCACGCGCCGTCGAAGCAGCCGCCTGGCAAACCTTGTAGAAGGCCAGCTCGCGAGCCAAGTCATCGTTGGGGTCGGGGACGTCAATCGGCTCTTGCGAGACTAGCGAATTGTGCTCAGAGAATAGGGTCTTGGGTGTGATGAAGGAGATGCGCTTGAGGGAGGCATTGATTGCGGCGGAGTTGTTGATCGTGAGACGTTGGTGTGGTACGACGTCTTCTCTTTCGTCGTCCGAGAGATCAGAGAGCGGGATGTCTTCTTCTTCTTCTTCTTCTTCTTCTTCCTCTTCCTCTTCTTCCTTATCGGAGGTCTCCTCCTTTTCCTCTTCCTCCTCCTCGTCGCTTGATCCTTCCTCTTCGACCTCTTCCTCGGCTTCGCGCTTCTTGGACTTCAGGTCTTCGGCCTTTGATCGCAAAATCAGTTAATACCAATTGCCAATCGAGAACCATATATAAAGCAAAAAGACAAGAACTAAGATAAAGGAGGAAACCCACCTTATCCTTCGCCTGAACACCATCCTCCCCAGCAGCAGCCTTTTTAGCAGCCTTCCTCTTTTCCGCCGCCTTAACTAGCTTCTTCTGCTTCTCAGCCTCATAATCGCGACCCCGGTGGTCATCCAGAGCCTGAAGCAATTTACTCCGCTTAGGCATTTTTCCCTGATAAGAACCTTAAAGTTCTGTAATTTAGAAACGAAAAAAAAGAAAAGAGAGAGAAGAAAAAAGAAAAAAGAAGGGTATCCTAATACTCGAAAACCAGAACTTGTAAGAGCCCAGACGATCAAAGAGTAGCAACCACGGGAATTTTTTTGGGATGTGAACTAGACCTGATCCGGTTAGAGCTATTGATAAGGATGCACTAGGCTGTATAAGGATTAGATGACTCTCTCTATCGGCGATGGAGAATAGTTGATCCTGGGTTTTGTATGGTATGTGGTATGTATGCGCGCACTTATCGTGATGACTTGCGTCTCCTGGCTGTAAATACTATACTACTGGTGTCAGGGTTTGGTTGGGAACGTGTTTGACGTCCCTCTTTTCTTTTTGTGACGTATACTTTTGTATTGTTTTCTTTTTCTTTTTTTTTTAATACTTTACTTGTTGGTTCAAAATGACGGAAGACGACAATAAATCGGTCTCTACCTCCGAGGCTGTTACTCCCCCCACTGGCGAACAGGTACGTCCCCCTCCTCATCTTACCGGTACAATCTGTGTACTAATTCTACACCTAGGCTACCGATGCACAGGGTCAGCTCGCGGCAGCTGTGGATGACCTTCTCGATCAATTACAGCATAAATTCGATAATGTGTCGCGGGAGATGTTCGGGAAACGTACGTCTTGTCCTATTACCCCCGCCCCCTTCCCCCCAGAGAGAACATGTTGGCTTAGGTGACTGACGGACGGTGGCAGTGGACGATATGGCAAGGCGCCTTGATGAGTTGGAGGCTTCGTTGACAATTGCTGGGGATTCAAGTACGCCGACGGGACCAGGAAGTCCGACCAAGTGATCTGGATTGCTATGGTGGATAGTGCGACGAGGGTAGACTAGGGGATTTGTTTTGATTCTATGAGGAGTTTGGTTGTTTGCGCATTCATTGCATTCTTTTTTCTCGTCTTGATTAGAGGTTTGCGTCCTTGCAGGGCCTTGTTTTTCGTGGTCTTAAGACGATTGCATACGATACCCTGAGAATGTTATCTGGTTATTTTTCATAGATGTAGTAGTGTTTTTCACGACTTGGTGTAAATGTTTCATTTTCATTCATTGTCCCTATAGGGGTTCTACAGAGATGGACTTATACCAAAGTTCTGTAGCCAAGAGCACGTTCATATCACATATAGCTAGCTCTCCGGGTGTGTCCCCATCACGTCATATACGAATTTGTACACTTACAGCTCATCCTTCATGTCCATGTCGCTCTTCTCCTGGCTAAGGAACTGGCGCAGAACATTGCTACGAGAGATGAGGTCGTCGACCTTCTCCGGCGCCGAACCACCCTTGGCGATGATCTTCTTCAGACGAGCCAATTCCTTGCCGGCATACTCCTTGTTTTGGCTGAGCTTCTCGGCAACCTTGACATAGTACTGGGCGTACTTGTCCTGCAGACCCTTTGCAGCCGTCTTCACCTCACTGAGGAGCTCCTCGACGTTCTGGGAGGAGGTGTACTTAGCGACCAGCTCGTCGAGGGAGGCGATGGTGCCAGCCTTGTCATCAAGACCGCCTCCGACGGAGCGGTGGGTGCCAGCCTTCTCGTTCACGAACTCAACGAAGGCCTCCTCCGAGCGAGCGCCAGAGTAAGCAATGCCCTCCTTGGAGCCCTTGGGGAAGAACTTGATGGTCGGGTAGCCGGTGACACCCTGCTCCCGGGCAGTGGCTTTGGCATTCTCTGCCTCAGCATCGACCTTGGCGATCACAACGTTGGGCTCGAGGACGAAGTCCTTCGCGAGGGACTCCCAGGTAGGGGCGAGGTTCTTGCAGTCTAGTAGCAAATTAGCACCCAGTCAAGCCCATCAACGCACCCCATGATAAATCCAATAAACAGCCCAGCTGAGTATCAAGACAAGAAAAGGGTAAACTCACGTCCACACCAAGGGGCGGTGAAAGCAACCAAAACGTCCTTGTCACTTCCAATAGTAGTTTTGAAGGAGGAATCCGTCAGCATCTCAACCTCGCTGGGCTCCTTCTTCGGGCCACGAGGCTTGATGCCCGTCTTCTCCGACACGAAGCTAGACAAACTCTCCAGATCACGACCGCCGTTGTAGTCCACGGGCTTGTCACTCTTGCCATCGAACCATTTCAAAGTCGGGAACCCCTGGATACCGAATTTCTTGCCGAGATCGCGGTGCTCGTCAGCATCGACCTTGCCGATGGTAACTTTGTCTTCGGCATGGGCGAAAGCTTGTCCAAGATCCTCGTACACAGGCGCCAGGTTCTTGCAGTGACCGCACCAGGGGGCGAAGAATTCAACGAGAGCGGGCTTGCCGGACTTGAGGACGACGTTGTCGAAGTTCTTGGGGACCAGGTCGACGACTGCCGAAGCAGCGCTCACGACGCTGAGGCAGCTCACGAGCAGATAGCTCAGACGAGCCATGGTGACTATTGGGAAGATAAAACGTGAGGACAAGCTTTATCGTTCGGAAACAGAGGTTGAAACAATTGCGCCTTGACTGCAAATGATCAGTTTCCGGAGCAATGAAAGTTGGCTGATAAATGGAGCATCGGCGCGGAGAGCCAAAGAGCCAAAAGAGCTCCGCGGCAGATCGACAAAGCGGGTCGGAAGAGGACACTTGGTATCAACTTGACAAAAAAGTCCAGCTTCAACGGAAACAGTAATTAAAAACAATAAAAAAAATAACAATTAAATAAGTGAATGAATAAATCTACTAAACCGTGGTTGATCATCAGAGGCATGGTATCCTACTAAAACATGGGTTTTTGGATTCATAGTATAAGCCCATCCATCAAACGGTGGCGATTTCACATTCATATGACCAACAACTGATAGGGTCCGGCTGGTAGGATCGTGTAGATTTTCAGAAATGTTGAATTACGGTAGTTCATATTCTTCTGCACCTCTTACCCTCAGTAAATTCTTATCACCGCCTCTCGGTCAACCAGCTGTTGGCGTCTCCAAATAGTTTACCGTCCTTGAATTCTCTTCCTGCGTGCTGTGTTCCTTTGTAGACCTGCAAGGTGAAATCAGTACAGAGTTCACGCCAGAAGTCTATAGCGTAAGATCTACTCACCGCATCCCAAAGTTTGAAAGCCAAATCCAAATTACCTGTAAAGCTATCGCTGTGTTGGAACCATTCCTTGCCCTTCGACTTCACTTCAGCCCGTGCCTCTGGCGATGTCGGGTCGGCCTGCAGGGGCAAGTCATCGAGGTATGTGCGGACGGCGATACCCAGGCCGCAGTCATTGTCGTCGATAAAGGGCAATCTACATCATGTTAGGCCAGTCATTCGTTGGCTAGGGCAAGGTCCCGCTTACTTGACGCTCAATCCGGTCCAGTCATCGCGATCCCTGTCAGCATCTCCGCTGAGTAGAAGACCCGTCAAAACGACTTCAATCAGATTCCTTAATGTGACACGGACTTCCGAAACCAACGATCGGTAGCAGAGTAGCTGCCGGCTCAAGGGTCCAGAGTAGCCAATGCTCTTATGCTGTAATTTAGCGATACACGCCACGCGAGAGACGAGAATATTGAAGTTCTTGTCCTCATCTTCAAAGACATATCAGCATGGCTCTGCTGACATAAGATGCAGGCTCAATTAGCTTACCAGAACCTCTCATCGGGCCTCCCGATACGTGGGAAAACCATTGCTTCGCATTGAGGACACCAAAGCGCACCATCTCAATGGCAAGGAAAGTAGCCTCCTCAAGATTATCGGCTGGGTCAAGTACCGATAGGGCTTGCTCCAGACAAGAGCCCCAGGAGGTGAGCTGGTGTTTCTCGTCGATATACCCACGCAGTTGTAAGAATCTCCAGAAGACGTTGGCAAGGATCTCTTCTTGGGATGACAACGGCTGGCACTAGTCAGATTGCCATGTTTGCACATCTCGAACAGAATGGGACATACCTGGGACTCCCTGGCAGAAAGAGACTTGGACACAAACTCCGAATCCTTCAAGCTTTGGACGGCAAATTTAAACGGACCATTCGACCGCTGGTCTCGGTTAGCGGAACGCTGTGAAATCAACGGTCATCAGTAGACTAACCTGCAGTTTTTTCAATCCCTCCGGTAGCTGATCAATACGGATCTTCCAAGACTGAATAGTATCTTTAACCGAAGGCAAAGACTTGAGATTGACTGATGTATCGGACCTCTCGTCATACCAAGTGCGCACTTGGATCACCTTGGTCTGGTAGAATCTATGGAGGGAGTTAGAAAGCAGGCATATCGCTTGGGTTCTGATTGGAGTAAGGGTGGTCCCGGCAACCTGGCGATAGATTTCTGTATCTTCCACGCCCAAGGGCCGAGAGACCATGACCTCGCCAGACGTCAGGTAGTTGGGCACATCAGCACCCAAGACACCTTTCGATAGATAAAAGTAGAGTTCTTCGGGAAGACGCTGACCGATCAGCTCGTGCATGTCGGAAGAGGTGTTCTCTGGGTCCATCGGGCCCACCCGTCCTTCCGCATCTATAAACACATGGTGCTTCACTGTCATGAATGCACGCTTGTAACGGTCTGTGTATTGAAGCTCCTGCATACGGCGATCCTCCTCGAACTGAGCGCATAGCGAGAGGGCGCTCCGTCCAGCAGAGTTGAACATCGGTAGAGCATCCCGAATGGTAGCGCCCTTTCCAGGAAAGGCGGGGTTCTCAAATATGGGGAATGTGGGTAGGAATAAAGACCCCAAGAGGAGACAGAAATCCAGGAACTGCTCATTGGACAGTCTACCTAATTCCTCCTGGCATGTCTGTTTGGTTATCCAGCAAAACTGCGCTGGGTCGGCGTCAATTCGGGTAATTAACTTATCCACATCGAACATCAAGATTTCCGATGGGCCGCACACTGCATCCACCAGGGGATTAGGGCCTTTTGAGAGGTAGGCGAGCTATACAATAGTTAGCTGTCAAAAGCGCTTAGGAAACGGGCACAGCAAATCTTCGCCATCTCACCTGAGCCGCACCACTATAAGGCGCCACAATATAATCTATACCATTATTATGAAGAATACGCTGCAAGAACCGATACAGTGATTCCGGTCGAGGAGTGCCTAGAATACCCAAACATTGTCAGTGCAGGTTCAGGCGGTGCAGAGCGAGTCGCTCCTCGATTCAAGGGTCCAGGCAACCCCTACCAGCACCACTAAATGCGTCCACCACTTGATCAGCCTGTTGTTGGTCATAGAGATCCCAGGCTTGCTCAAATGCCCGTACCGACTCCGGCGATACGTGGGGTCGCTGGTTCTTAGTGCCAAAGTCAAGACCGTCGAAGACAAAAACACATGCTACGCCCGAGTCCTTGAAGAGCTGCAGCTCTCGTTCGATATTATTCCTCAGCGCGAACGGGAATCCGCCAAGAGCGACCAGGAGAGGCTCCCGGGTGGAAGGGTGGAGGAGGTGCTGTTTGATGTAATGCGACGCATCGATACCGACGACGGCACCTTTGAGAGCGGAGAGTGGAAGGGACTGCGTGCGGGCAGCGGCCCATTCATCCAATGGGCGAACTTTTGAGAGGGAGAGATCATCAGTCAGTCGACTCTCATTTCAGTTAGAACAGAAAGAGCTGCAGCAGGAGCTTACTCGGCATAATTGGAGCTAGAGCTGTGTCAAGGACCAAGGAACCTTAACGGATACCAGGCATGGAGAGACCCGGTGAGGGTGACCGGAGAGGAGAACAGAAGAGGAGGGGGAGGAAGCAGTCCACGAAAAGGAGTATAGGAAGGGTGGATGAGAATGTAGAGGAGGGAGAGAAGGAGGGAGAGGAAACACGGAGGGGTGGCACGAGTCCAGCTGGTGGTGTTGAAGTTCGTTGTTTTTGGGCGATCAATTCAAATGATGATTTGTTTCCATTGGCTGAAATGGCGGTGCTTCCGGTCAGCCAACTGACGAATAAATATTATATCCAAGTCCTTCACTGCCTCAGATCTAGCCAATTGATCCGGTTTTATGGACAAATGTACATGCTTATTCCTATGGCATTTCTTTCGTTTTCGATTTGACTTCATGACTTATCTCTTTTGCCTAGAAGGTATAGGTAGGGTTTTGATGTATTTTGAACTTGTAGGTTTCGAAACCGTCGGTCATACTGATACAATATACAATACAAGATATATACTTACCGCCACTGCATAAGGTTATATATATATATTTTTTGACTACTAGTATACACACAACATTAAACCCCCCTATACCATCAACTGTTAGCTTAGAAGGGTTTTATCCTTGACAGAAAACCGATAGTTCACTGCCTATTCTTTACTCTAAAGGACCCTGTCGCATCGCTCCGATCCGACAACCATCGAATTCTGATAAGAGATAACCGTAGCCCCATCTCTATCTTTATATTCCGGCAATCCCCTCCCTCCCCTTCTCCCCCTTCTGTTACAATTGCAGAGGTCCTTTATCAATTAATTATACCCGTGGTAAAACCGATAACTCATTATGGCGGGGGAAAACACACCCGTGGGGCCCCTCATTCAACTCCCAATTTTGGACATCTCGAATCCGAACGACCCCGCCGTGGGGAAGGCGATGCTGGACGCAGCCGCGAAATATGGCTTCCTCTACGTGAGCAGCAAAGGAACTGACTTCACCGTCAGTGATGTTGAGAAGGCCTTTGACCTTGTACGACCACATTCCACGCAGGCCTTCCCATCGAGAACCATGTCCTTATACAACGGCGTAACTGACTCAGCGATGATAGTCTAGGCAGTTCTTTAAGTCCCCCGTGGAGGAAAAGGCGGCTTGTCGGATCCAGCCCAATGTGAGTATAAAGTCCCTTCATACGAGAGGCTGTATAAAGTAACTGACCGCCCTAGAATTATGGCTGGTCCGGTATGCATGTCGAGACGCTGGATCCAGAGCACCAACGGGTAACTATGACTTCGTCTCTAGCCGCAGTTGTGACTGATGACTATACTTACCATCTGTGCTCGTAGACAGGTGACTTCAAAGAGTAAGTCGGAACCCCCCCGTTATATTACTCACAATCAAACTAAGATCATACTCAGGGCATTCAACTTTGGGGAATTCAAAGACGGGAAGGCCCAACACCCACTGCCGCGATCCCTGACTTCACATGAGCCGGAAATCGCTCATTTCGCAGATCTCTGCAACAAAACCTGCGACAGGATCCTCAAGCTGCTAGCACTTGGACTCGAGATCCCTGAGGACTTCTTCACAGCTCGTCACGACCCCAGTCAAGGCCCGACTGGTTGTAATCTCCGTTACCTCTATTACCCGTCAATCGCCTCCCCGGCAACCTCATCTTACCAGCACGGCACCGACGTTCGTGCAGGCGCCCATTCCGACTATGGCAGCGTCACCTTGCTCTTCCAGCGTCCCGGCCAGCCAGGCCTGGAGATCCTGACGCCAGAAGGAACCTGGGCACCCGTCCCAGTGCAACCAGGGCAAACTGCTGAGGAGGACAGGGATGCTGCCTTCCCTTTCCCTCCTATTCTAGTCAATATCGGCGACTTGCTTAGCTACTGGACAGATGGGCTTCTGAAATCAACCGTCCACCGCGTCGTTTTCCCACTATCGGAGCAACAGACCCCCAACCCGCAGGATCGTTACAGTATCGTCTTCTTTTGCCACCCATTGGATAAGACAGAACTGGTCCCTGTCCCTAGTGATATAGTAACCGCCCATCGACAAAAGTGCAAGGAGAGTGGTGTCCAGGACGAGAAAGTTGGCTTTGGCGGCGGAGCTGGGAGTCTGGAACCAGGCAAACGAACCCTGACGGCCCAAGAACACTTAGAGGCACGATTGGCTGCAACGTACAAGTTCGATAAATGATAGCTGGAATGTGGCTTCGAGACCACAGAACTGTATCCTGTTCCGCTTGCGTTATATACCTTGTTATCCAACACTAAGCAGTAGAAGAACGGTCCAGCACTGAACTATAACCAAATCATGAGACTATTTCATTCATAAAAGGAGATTAATCAAAACATATTATGCACATGGATGCACTGAGAGCAATGAAAAGAGTAGACAAGACTGCCGTCAAGCAGAACATTCACTGTGGTATTTAGAGGCCAAGACCAATGGTTCGCCAATGAGGTAAATATCGACAATAACACAAAAGGCCAAACGAAGATGCTCCCAACAAGACCGTTTGAGCCAAGAAATATGCTAAAGAGCTACTGACAAAAGGAAAATCGTCCGGCGTCGAGGAGATGGAATATGGATTGTTTCAAGATAACCAACGGGAAACGAAGAGGGAAAAAATGAGCAACAGGAATATGAATGACAGAAAGGCCCAGTGTTTGGGAAAACACTGTATGCAGATTCATGACCGCTAGAGGTTATCCATATGAGTAGTAAATAGGCATCATGCCCAACGTTAATGAAACAGTGGGTGTAATAACAGAGTTTGAGATATGGGAATTGCAGGAATAGAGAACACAGAAAAGGTATCTTGAGATGAAGAGAAACGCCGCCAGGTTCTGAAATGCCATGCACGGGTAGATGTGGAATCTCGAAAACAAAAAGAAAAGATGGCAGGTATGACGCTATGCAAGCCAGGTATGCATTAGATATATTAGACAAAGTTCATCCGTTCATATCATGGCGTGGTGTGGCACCAGTGACGATGATACACCCACGCGGCCTTCTGACAATCTTTGCTGCAGTACTTGGTGCGGCGGCAACGGCGACACTTGGCAAATTGTCGCTGGAACTCTTCCCATTTTCCGCACTTGTAGTATGCGCATTGTCGAATGCCACCCCTCGACTCGTCCTTGCGGCAGAGATTCCTCATGACGACGCAAGCCCAGTACTGCATGTCTTTGGAGTGATGACGCACTGTAAACTTTTCCACCAAGGGGAAGATGTTGACATCGTCAGGAAGCATGTACTCCTCCTCTTCCTCTGGCGGTTCGATCGGCGACGCTCCTTCCTCCAGCATCTGAAGTTCACGGTCGACCTTGAGCTTCGGCACGAGGTGAGAGTGTTGGAAATATGACCGAAGGTTGCAGTACTTCGAGACATAGGCCAACAATTGGAGAGACATCAAGACATCTTCATCACGGGGCATTGTTGTCAGGACATTCTGGGGGGCTGCAGACCGGTCGCGGAAGTACAGGGAGTATGGACTCGGGACGAGAGCGGGAGAGTTGGCGTTATTAACGGCCTGTGTCGGAGACAGCCCCAGAGCCGTGTTGGTCTGCGTGTTGTCGTTGTTGATGATGCTGCCATCCACCGTGGAACGATGGCTGATGTTGAACGTCTCGGCTTCTTGGCCTTCAGACGGATCGGTCACGGTCAGATCATGGGAATTGGAAACGCCGTCTATCATAGTTTGCCGGTCGCTCACTTCATCGATCTCCATTTGGTTCTGGAGGCCAACAATGGGCTCCGATGTCTCTGCTGAGCCGGTGTTGTCCCCCAGAGTGGAGCCTTCTCCATTCCCATCATCAGAGTCTCCCGATGCCGACTGTTGCTGCCTCAACGTAGGTCGCTGTCTGGCTGCAGTCGTCGGGGCATGGCTGCGAGACTGCACAGGGCCGCTGGGGGTCGTCGGAGAATCAGGCTGCGATGTAATCCCGTTGTGTAAGGTGGGCAGCATGCTTGGGAGTCTTTCTGTGTCCCGCACGGGACGCAGACCGAAGCCATCAGCGGTATCCATGGGTGGCAAGGCAGTGGCCAGGGGCTGCATCGCCCTGTGACGATGACCATTGTGCAAATGGCGACCATCGTGCGATCTGTGGATGTGGGCCTCTTGTCCAAACGTGCTCCTCTCTGGAGGTGAGGTCATGGGAGCACGAGGTGACGAGGTGACGTTCATGGCGTTTGCGTCGGGCGCATTTGTGTTCTGGTGGAGGAATGCAGGGATTTCAATCGACGGGGGAGGTGCCTGGCGGCGAGAGGTGCGTTGCTCACTGTTGGACGACTGGTCTGGGAAGGACGGGCGCCCGGTCACATCGCCCGCGGCAGGGGCCGCCTTGGGGTGATGCCGTGACGAGTGTCTTTGGTTTTCGCTATCTGCTCGTGCCCGCGCCTTGTCCACCACCTTGATATAATTGTCAAGAATAGTCGCAATCACCGGCACCATATCCGCTTCGACTACTCTTGTCCTCACGCTCTCTGAGCCCCGCACGCCGATGTTGACCACACACTGGAAGGCGAGGCTCCACTTCCACATTTCCATCAAATCTCTACTGCGGCCCTCTTTGAGGATGCAGACTAACCGTTCAATCCCGCCATCGACCGTGAGGATATCGCGAATTCGCGCGGAAGAAGTGGTTAGATAGGCGAGATGGTTGAGAGAATTTATGAGGGGCAGGGTAGACGTGCAATCGAGGGCACGCCGGTCGTAAAGGGTAGTTGTAATGTTCACCGAAGCCTTATTGACATTTGGGATACTGAAGTTGACCTCCCGCATGATGGGCGAGAGGATCGTAAAGGGGACAGGTTTCGTAGATGAGGTTCCGTCAGATGAGGGATGTCGGGACGATGGAGAATTCGATCCGTGGTGGCTGCTTTCCTCCCCTAAAGTAAGATGGGAAAACAAATCGCTCGAGGGCGTGACTCGAGGGGGGTGTGGGAAATCGGCAGAGAATCCAAAGGGGGTTCGGACTGTTTATTCCCAGGTCATGAAGGGTTAAACGTGAAAATCTGCGATAGTCTAGGGGGGACCCTTGGGGCCAAGTCGATGATTGGGGATGGAGGATGTTTGCAGAAAGGATGAGGAGGTTGAAAGGGAGATTTGATCCAAGCCAAGACTCGTTCGGTCACCAAGTCCGTCAGGCCTAATGGGCGATGATCCACCGGGGGTATGCGAACGCAATGAGCGCAAAGATGAAGAGAACTAACTGTACAGTACAAAAAAGAACCACAGGGATAGGCGGGAACCCCCAAACGATAAAACACCACGCCGCGTGAATGTCAGGGAGAACTTGAGTCGATGTTATGAGTTGACTGATGGGGGCAAAAGTCGTCCGAGAGGGAACGAGTGACTTCGGGGACTTGGCTTTTGGGCCAAAAAAGCGAAAGCGGAGTCTCTCCTTCTCAAAGTCAGGCGCCTCAGGCGATTGTCTCCTGTTACGGAGAACATCCTCTTCTCCTGTGCGCGCCACCCGCCACTGCGACCAAATTTCTTTCTATTGTCGACCTCGATCGATAGACTTTCCTTTCGGCCCTTGCCCTTTATTTGCTTATTCCATTCTATTCTTTCTTTCTTTCTTTCTTTCTTTCTCTCGTTCTTCTTCCCTTCCTTTCTTTTCGACCTGTCCTACATAGTGGTGGAGATGGCAACTGCAACCTAAGCACATCTCCAAGCGCTAGGAAATTGCTTGTATTGAGGGGAAGTCGTAGATCGTAGAAACTTATGCTCCTCGCAACGAGGACTACGCTTAACCAGTTAGATGGTAAACCCGGATTCAGATCATGCAAACCACCCATCCATTACGTAGTCTTGCCTTAGTTTAATTGTCGGGAACTCCGGTAGGGTTTAGATAGCTTAGAATGAAGGTCCATGCTGAACACATGGGATTCCTTCCACGTATACGGAGTACTACTACTTAATGAGAATGATTCTCCATATAAGGGGGGCGAATTAATTACGACTATGTATTGATATTACTAATTTTTGCATCGTATGTGGTGGCATGCTTGTTCTGCTGACCTGATCTCACCGCTTCGTCTTCCGCTTTGACCCAGCCCTAAGATGAACCTTGCATGGATCCATGAGATATTGATCTACGAAATCCACCACCAACACGCAATATATTGGACTATTGAATATACCTAAATGTAGTCTAAACCACCTTCAGCCAGTGGCATACCGCCAGGCAGACCGGCAACGTATACCCATCCCTCTACTTTCCTGCCTTGTCTTGCCTTATCCTACTTTTAGATCACCGTTTAGAGCATGTTGGCTCAGGGTAACAGGTCCCTACCATAACCACGACAGGCTATATATTTTCTGCTCATCTAATATTTTATTTTGATTTTCTTCCCTTTCCCCCGTCATCTTGAACCCCAAGAGCTTACTTCGAGCCCAGACCTATGTTTGAAAATTTCTGTATACAAAGCCGAGTATACTCGAGATTACTGTTTTCTTTTCTATTGGATGTACGATGATATACCCACCATACCAACCATAACTTGTTCTAAGCCATATTGACTGTTATGCTGGCCCTAAACAAACCCTCAAATGCAAGCCGTGACGGTTTAACTTATATATATTCCAAAAGGGCAATATGTCGTATGGCATCTAACGCCCATTATCATGCGATGTTCCAATCGCAATACACATCACCGAATACTACCAGGCCAAGTGCCATGCGTCAGATTACCTTCAATGGACATTATCATCGAATGAATCGCGATCCCCTGCTAAGTTTGAGGCCAGAAACCTCGGCGCTCTCTTACGATGCTCAAGACATACCCAGTGAGCAGCCATTCGGCTGTATCCAATGTTTGAGACCATTGGCTGGTCAAAACTACGTGCATTCAGTCCAGAGATGTAAAGCATCAGCCGTTGCTACCTCAGCAGCTGAACTCAGGCATTTTTGGACCACACTCGTCGTCCTTTTTGAACCTGTACTGTGAGCTGGACTACAAGCTGCACACGACTGTGCGCTGAAGCCAAATGGAGATACCCGTGAGTACTGGTCAAATATGAGCACCATGCTCACTACTTTTTCTTTTCCTTTCTTTGTTCTTTTTCCCCGGATTTATACATAACCTAGCCTCTTTCGTTTAAGACCCAAGTCACAAGATCTTGATGCGGAGCTCCATATCAGTTATAGTGCAGAATAAACGACCGTGGGTAGTCTCATGAGTCAGGCGGTAATATCTGGGCTGGGAACAAAGATAGCCTTGATTCAAGTCATTTTCAAGTCCCATTTCGCCCTATATCGCACAAACTTCAGGATAGCTCATAGCATTCCATACAGCCAACAAAAAGCTCGTATGAAAGTGTCTATTCCCCGACATTATCAGCACAAGACCTTATGTACTCAGAGTACACCCGTCATTTTACTTGTGGAAAGTGAAGGGCTTTCAGGAAATTGCCTCCCTTCTGGGCTCCCTCGCTTATAGGCCTCCAGCCCCTCCAGTGGGTTTACTCCGTAATGATGCCCCATTTCCGGAACGAGCGGAGTCTTGTAGATCCAGCAAGCAAAGACCAACTCGGAACCCACCATTTAATTTTCGCTCGAAAAAATAGAAAGAGTCTGCACAATACGGCGCCCCCCTGTCAGTGGTGTCAAGTTTTCAGAGCACTGATATGATGGCGTCGTTTGGAAAACCGGGGTCAAACATTTGACGTCGCCCTCGTTTACCAAAACAGGTGGTTATTGCCCGTCTTTAAGTCTTTGATGATCAATGCTAGCTCCATGATCTTCCAAGAATTTTAAATTTTGACCAATAAGGTATGACATTTAGGTTCGCACGTGCCTTCGCGAACATACCCCGTATATGAAGTATTTGCGAACGACTTCAACTAGTAGTAACCTGCCGCGAAGGTAGACGATTCCCATAGAGGTATGATAGCAAGAACCAAGATTACAGCCAATAGAAAATGAGACCAATGACCTGTCTTCTCAAGACGCACAGACAACCCAAGGTTCTATGATTAGACACTAAACAAGCGCTGGCTGCAAAACACGGCGCCGTCTAAGAATCAGCGCTATTCGAAGCCATTCCTACAGGAGGGCTAAGTATGATCCATTGATACCATGCCCTGCAGGATTTAGGGTTATTCCAACACCCTTTTTATACAGACTCTATAGACCAGTGCTATTGTTGTCCCAGAAATGCACGATTGATGAACCGACTGTCTAACCAGAAGGCTTGGTATTCAGCTTTACCCGTTCAGCCACGGGCAGCTGCGCCTCCATTTCCGGCAATGAAATGAAACGCCACTAACCGGCATAGCCGGGCCGGAGGAAATGCATATTTCGTCATAGGATCAAAAATGTGTTGGATGAGAAAGTCTTTGCCATTGAATCGGTCTGCTTTTGAAGAGTGCAGAAGGGTCGGTCAACCACGACTCTGCAGGACATGGCTAAGTGTGCCGGGTAACAATCTAGGGCAAAAAAAAAAAAGAAAGAAAAAAAAAACAATGAATCCTCCTTTCTTTACTAGTTATAGCGCCTCATTATTATTAATCACGGGTAATGACGACCTCCGCTGAAGAGGGGCGTTGGTCAAACTAGTCAGGCACGGTCTCCGAGCTATGTTCTTAGCAGTGGAGCTATTGCTCGAGATGAGGAGAGTCTCACGGACCACTCGGAACAAAGTCTCAATCGACTAAATCATTGGATATGCCGACCAATTTCTGCGATAGAGCCCCCACCTTAGGGAACACTGACCAGCATTATCCACAAATCACGTACACTTGTTCATTTATCCCTATCGACAGTAGGTTAGGCCCGAATTATTTACAGTGCTGTTACAATCTTTAACCTTTCGACTGTCTTACTACGTAGTATTGCCTTCGATGACTGATACGGAGGAGATTAGTCGGTCTACTGTTCCCATTGTGTATGTTGGGTGTCATGGCCCGTACAGAGAGGTAACCTAATGATCACTTTCATTTTCCGAGCTCAGCATTGGTGTGAGTGATAATTGATATACTAGTAAAGTACGGAGTAACCACCAGTATATGGAGAGCCTGCACGCTGTTTCATGCAGTGCCCCGAGGTTGTACAGCCGAAACACAAATTTAGATCAAAACCGTTGGTATCTAGTATGTGCTTTTGTCCACCTAGGGTTGTGGGTTATCACGAGCTGAGAATGCAAGGCTCAAGACATCTGCATCAGGTCGTGACTTGAACTGGATGTACGGAGTACATACTAACTACTAGTACGGAGTACTAATGTACGTATATACTTTCATACATTGCCCTAGTTAGACTCCTTGCATTATGGCCACCGGCAGTTTTGATCATAAATATGACAGCTACTTCCAAATCATTACGGGATCTGCAGGTTACACGTTGATCCTTATTCTCGTTGGTTTTAGGATGTTCTCCCACCCTGCGGAGTACATGCTGCAACTACCCGGAGCACTCGGTTATGCGAACAGGTATATGAAAGTTCAATAAAATAGATAACATCAGTCCTTGCCTCAATATATGGAAGCAACATGGAAAGTATATCAAAATATAGCTGGAGAAGATCTACTTCGAGAACATTGATTATATGGTATAATGCCATACAGTCATGTACGTAACCTGAACCCAGACGGGATTCGGGAGAGGCTTTTTGACTACTAGTAAGGGACTACTTATTAAGAGCACTAGTAGTAGTCTATGGTCTATGGATGACTCCATAGTTATAAACTTTTTGGCTTGCATAAAACTTACCAGGACCATGTTTGACTATATGAGTTTTAGTACAATCGATTGATTCACTACGGAGCCCGTTTGTAGATTTGACTGTCGTTCGATCTGATTGTTATCACTCGCATCCCTCTTAATACGTACACACACACCCTCAGTTTGATGCTCCACCGTCTACTATTTTCATGCTGATTTTGGTCCACTTTTGCTAACTTTTCCGCGGTCTTTTAAGTTTCCCTCCTCCACTATGTGAAATTCCGCCATGGCCAACCAGGTATGTGTAAATGATGAGGACTCCACTGGGTATGGAGGATGGAAGACTTCCGTTTCTTCTCTGCCTCTCCTTAAACTTAACCCCCTAAAGTAGGTACCTACAGTTAGTTAGTTGGGAGTTGAGTGGTACCCATGCTGGCTGACCAATCATGGCCTCGTGTAATTGGGAAATGGTATTGTCAATCTCCATCAGGAGGCTCCAATCTGATTAATTACTTATTTTATTATTATTTTTGTTTAAAAAAAAGAAAAAGAATTTCTCTTCACGTTGTTCTGTTCTTGCTGAGCCGTTGGATCGATCGCGTTAAGAAGTAATCACAGAAATTGTCTCTCAATGTTTAATCTGTTTTGAACCTGATCGTCCAGTGAATTAGTAGAATCGTTGTTTGATCTCCAATGTCAATGCTTACCATAGTTGACGGTGAAGTTGTATACAAGTTGTTGTGGTACCTCCTGGTGGCAGTTCCGGAGCGTCGGCTGATTACTGGTGTGCTATTTACTACTGCCCAGGGTTGCAATTGCTAACGACAACCAACTTGTCATCTGAGATGCCTGTATTTTATTTGATTTGATTTGAATTAAATTTTTACCTCTTACCTTTGCACCTCCCCTTTTTTGTTTGTTCATCAGATTTTCCCTTGTCTGTTAGATTTTTCTTCTGGTTTTTTTTTTTTTTTTTTTAATTTCCTCTCATTCCATCCACATAAGCAGTTTTCTTTTCCCCTGCAGTCAAATTCCCCCCCGGGGCGAAAGTTTCTTGCTTTTTCGCTCGGTCGCTTCCGCCGGACTCGCTCCACATCCAATCAAACCCCCCTCTTTCGCTCTTCGCTCTCCCTCACCCTTCTTCCTTCAGCTTTCACCTACCGCCCTCTTCCCGCGTCCCCTCTCCCCGAATCCTTCTACACTCGCTCCCAGTCCCCTGGATATTACCCAAACGCCCGTCGCCGTCGACTCTTCTCACTTCCTCCCCCTTTTTTTCCCCCCCTCCTCTATCTTCTCCGTCTCGCTCTCCTATTCCGATCACGCCCACCTGTATCAATTGACTATCACCCTCTCCAGGGGCTTGCTCCGTCAAGATGGCAGCCGATATGAGCGGCGAGCAGATGCAGGCCAAGATCACCGCGGCCCGGCGCGAAGCTGAAGGGTTGAAGGATAGGATCAAGCGCAGAAAGGATGAGCTGGCCGATACCACTCGTATGAAACCCCGTTTCCACTGCGAGTGACGAGCAGCCCCCGACGCTCGGGGCTTTCGTGCTATCTGAAGTACTGACATTGGCCGTCCAGTCCGTCAAGTCGCGCAAAACCAAACTGACACTTTGCCTCGCATCGGAATGAAGCCCCGTCGGACGCTCAAGGGCCATCTCGCCAAGATCTACGCTATGCACTGGTCGACCGACCGACGTCATCTCGTCTCTGCTTCGCAAGATGGAAAGCTTATCATCTGGGATGCTTACACTACGAATAAAGTCCATGCGATCCCACTGAGGTCATCGTGGGTCATGACCTGCGCCTATGCCCCGAGTGGAAACTACGTTGCGTGTGGTGGTCTAGACAACATCTGCTCAATCTACAACCTCTCTTCGCGTGAAGGTCCTACTCGTGTTGCGCGCGAGCTGTCAGGGCACTCGGGATACCTCTCCTGCTGCCGCTTTATCAACGATCGTCGTATTATCACCTCGTCCGGAGACATGACTTGCATGCTATGGGATATTGAATCGGGCTCGAAAGTGACTGAATTCGCCGACCACCTGGGCGACGTCATGTCGATCAGCATTAACCCTACCAACCAGAACATTTTCGTCTCGGGCGCCTGTGATGCTTTCGCGAAGCTCTGGGATATTCGTACCGGAAAGGCCGTTCAGACTTTCGCTGGACACGAATCGGACATCAATGCTATCCAATTCTTCCCCGACGGAAATGCATTCGGCACTGGTTCCGATGATACTTCCTGCCGTCTCTTTGATATTCGCGCGGATCGTGAACTCAACATTTACCAGGTACGTCGATTTCACCCCCGTCTCAACCCAACATAGACAGTAATTGATCTAACCCCAAATCCTCAGAGCGACCAAATATTGTGTGGTATCACGTCCGTTGCTTTCTCCGTCTCTGGAAGACTGCTCTTCGCTGGTTATGACGATTTTGAATGCAAGGTAGGTTTAATGTTGAATTTGGCGACGAAACGGACAATTGGCTGACTTCATGCAAGGTGTGGGATGTCCTCCGGGGCGACAAAGTTGGCTCTCTTAGCGGTCACGAAAACCGGGTCAGCTGTCTTGGAGTCAGCAATGACGGCATTAGTCTGTGCACAGGCTCCTGGGATTCTCTGGTAAGCATGTCGTTCGTCGTCAGGGTCGGAGTTCAGTGTACTAAACATCTTACTCTCGTTACAGCTCAAGGTCTGGGCCTGGTAGAAGCCGACAACTCCGAAGAAAAAAAAAAAAAAAGCAAAGATACCCTGTCTCTGTCTTGCCATGTCCTTTTCCGATATTTTCACAACATAATCTTGCAGCAATAGGTCGAACATCCGCCGTTGTACGATAATCTTATTTACCGAGGAGCAGTATTGTCGCCTTACTTCCATAATATATGTATTATGTGGGAATGCTGGCGAAGTCATCAAGAAGGGAACGACGAGCTATCAAGGGCAGACTATCAGGGTGGTTGGGCATTTGAGTCGAACCCTGTCACATCGCACCATGGACGCGCTACGACAGAAACATAATCATCAAAAAAAAAAGAAAAATAAAAAAAAACAGCAACAAAGTAACACTATTCGATGACTTACGTGGTGGTCTTAATAATACTGCCGATTGACAGGCCACTGGGGATGGTTGCAGGAGACACCGCGTGGAGATGCCTCTCAGCCAAAGTTGTTCAGCTTTAACGCATACTCCGTGGGCTTTGGAGATCTGCCTTGATTTCTTTTTTCTTAACACTTCTCTTCTAATCTTTACCCATGTCTGCAAATTCCCCCACCCCCTTTCCCCCACTTTTTTTTTTTTTTTTTGTCTTCTCTTCTCCAATCCTTGGACTACTTGTGATTGTTCTGTTTTTGATAGCCTCTCTTACGCATTGATTCCTGCATGTACTCTGTTTTTATTATCTAGTGGTGGACAGGGAGGGAATGTTTCCGAACAAGCTATGATGTTTTCCTTGTCTGACTTGTGATCACTTTTTATTTTTCTTTTTCCTAATTAACTTGCCTGTTCTGAAAGTGTTGGATGTGCCATTTGACTGTTTTCACGAGAGCTTGTCTCGACCTGGAGTTGGGTCTTACTACGTTTCAGCGGCTCCTCTTTTTTCTTCTTTGATCCCCGCCTTATTTTCCTCCACCCCGTTTCATGGTATCTTATGGTTCTCCATTTGCAATTAGCTAAGATTTGGGGAGATGATTGACACACTATTGACACATTACTGGTACAAATGGCATACGCAGTTACTTTCGGAACTCTCGTACGCAGTGTTGGCGACTGTCAGCTGCTCATAATCCTTGTGAATATACTATGTATTGGACATTTTGCTTTTAGAACTGGCCAGTGACCAATTGCAACCGGCCTTCAGAGCACCTGTGAAGGAGACATGGCGCGCAATCCGGGCACTTTCCTCTCTTAGCAACTGGACAAAACCGAAGGATGCGCTCCACCTTCTACAGTGGGTGGGTTGGGTTTCGATGTGCATTCAAATTTGAGAGAAGGGACGATCGATTTGAAATAAGTGCCAGTCTGGGAAAAAAGACACCCTCGTATCGTGCTGGTGATTGAGCACAGACCTCGATTTGGATGAGCAAATGGATGGCAAGAGAACTGTGTTGGAACTTGGAAGATGCAGGTTTGAAGGATGAATGTCGGTGAGAATGAGCGAAGTAAGCATTGATTGACCGTCAGTCCACGTGGTTGGCTGCTAAAAAAAGGAAAGTTAATTCATTGTCCGTCAAAAACTTCCCACTTGCTGACTTCCTTCCCACGTTGGATCTCAAGAAAACCAACAACGACTTGACCATGACCTCAATGGTTGAGTGGAATGTTCTTCGTCTCTTCTAGTCTACGGCAAATGCTGAAACGGACTCCACTTCTTGAAACACAGCGAGAGAAAAAGGGGGGGTGGGATGCTGATGACGAGAGGACAATGGGGCACATTAGGATCGGCCCCATCGGACACCCCCTCCGGCTGTTCCAAACTTCCCACCAATTTGTTGTTTCATCCCGCCACTCTTAGCCTCCATCCTCGGTCTCCAGTGAAGTCAATCCGCCTCTCTTTAGCATCACTCTCGTCAGGAGGTTGCACAGACACCTTCTGAAACAACCATCCAAATTAGAGTCGTCATCCTCCTCGCCGTTATTCATTGTTTTGTGCCCCAATTCTGCCGGAACGCACCCTAAAGTGGAACAAGCTAGGTGAATCAAAGAAAAGGCAACAGGCAACAGGACAAACCAAAAAAGGAGGGAAAAAAAAAGGTAATACTCAGGACAAGAAGGAAAAAAAAAAAGCAAAGAGAAACGAAGGAACACTTCCCTGCCGGTGGTCGCAGATCAAGGCGCAGCCCGACTCTAATAATATCCCACACCATCATCGTTCATCCTTCGCTCGTTTAAAAGTCTATATACACCCCCCTCGTGTTCCCTTCCTTTCATTATGTCTTCCGCCCAAGACGAATTCAACCGTCTGGTTCAGTCCAATCGAGAGAAGTACTCTACACATCCTGAGGATCGTGACAACGACTCGGATCACGACTCCAACCCTTCGGACGACGAACAAGATCACCCGCAGTTCTCGGACTCCGAGGACCACGATCCCACCATGAGAACCGGCTCGTCCACCTACCATGTCCCAAACATTGTCTTCGATGCCAACACCGGTCCCAAAGGTGTTATAGCCGATGCCCAGGCCTTCGAGCGCGCGCGCGCAAGTTCCTTCCGCAAAACACTGCATCATCCTGACCATGCTAAATACATTACCGACGATTCCCATCTTCTGCACAATACTCCGCCTCCGGATGGCTCGCTCAGTGATGAGGATGAGGAACACTTTCTCCGCCAATGGCGCGAAGAGCGCATACAGGAACTGAGGAACCGGAGCTTTCGGCGGCCTAGTCCCCGGCGGAGGATGTATGGGTCAGTCGATACAGTCGATGCGGTCGGATACCTTGATGCCATTGAGAAGGTCACATCCGATACGGTAGTGGTCGTCTGTATATATAATCCCGAGGTATGTGTGACACTTTCCATTACTACACGATAGGCCGAAATGTCACTAACTCCTACCACAGTCAAAGAGTAGCGCTCTAGTAGAAGGCTGCCTGGAAGGTGTTGCGCGCAGAAACCCAACCGTCCGCTTCGTTAAGCTCCATCATGAAATTGCCGAGATGGATCATATCAAGGCTCCGGCATTGTTGGCCTACAGAGGTGGTGATGTTTTTGAGACCATCGTCGAGATCATCCGACAGATTCCGAAAGGTCGCGACTGTACCTCCCACACTTTAGAAGATTTACTCAAACTGTACGTTTTATTGGGTCTGATACACTTGATGTTTCAGATATGCTGACCGTCTCAGATACCGAGTGCTGTAAATATCCACTCGTTCCTACGAGATACTTATATGAAAAATACGGGTCGAAGTGCGCCGGGCGCTATGACTTCTTCCTCCCTTAGCATCATTGTCGAGCGTTAGAAATCCTTTCTTATTGCAGGCAGGCAGTGCCATTACTCTGTTTTGACTTTTTCATCCGAATGCATATACAAGGTGTTCCGGCTGGTGACGCAATGTGGATCTCATACATTTTTTCCCCCTGGTTTTATCTCGTTGTCCAGCCATTTGGTTTTACGTGGAGTGATTGAGCTTGAAGATATCCAACATTGGTTCCGTTCCGATATATCTATATTGCCTTTGTGGGGCTCCTTTGCATAAAATCTCACTATGATTGTTCCAATTTCTTGCATTAATACCAAGTTGATTTCAAGTATTGGCGTTAGGTCTCCGTATTTCATTAGCCGCGGACTTTCGTTAGCAAGCTTTCCGATCTCTTTCTTCAAGGAATCCAGCATCAAGGTGCATCCTCCTGTTGGGGTAGTTGTCTTGACTCGTGTATATTCGTTTCATCCATCCTCCGCATGACTGCGGTAACCTTCCGTGCCCTCTTCTTTGTCTCTTCCTTCCTTCCTTCCTTCCTTTCTTTTT